GAACTTATAATTGAAAATAATGGGGAAAGAATTTCTTATTAATTTTATATAAATAAAATCATATCATTTCCAACTTTAAATAAAAAAAAACAAAACTAAAATTAATACACTCATTATCGAGTAATAATACTTTTTTTTTGGCCAATTATTTTTGTAACACACTGTATATTGTGAGAAACATGAAGAATCAGATAATTTGACTGTATAAATTTTGGATGGATTGAATAATGATAATGAATGAATCAGATATCTTGACTTCAGAAGGTTCAGATGGATGGATTGACAATTCAAGGTTCAGATGGTAATACTTTAGAAAAATGAAATAAAATGTTAAAAAAGTCAAATAACAGATAAAAAAAAAAAGCACATTTTAAAAAATATTTCAACAAGAAAGGCGAATGGCCAAAAGGAATCTTTTAAGGTTATATATACATATATGGTGAATCAGAATTGAAGGAATTTATGGAAAAAATTATTTGTTCAGGTTATCCTTTGTTTAAGAAGAATGGTTTGGTTTAAAACTATCATATGTTCAAATTATCCAAATTTGGCTATAGATGATAATATAGTTAATATTAATTATCCAAAAAAACTTATAGAAATAGTGTATTCAATTCCCTTTTCTAGAATATTACCCAATATCATTGATCCCTGTCATTCAGAATTATTCGGTGTTTGTACAACCACAAATAAGATGAATCTGATCTATTTGAACTATTGAAATAAATAAATAAATATCATTCATCAATTGCTCTTTTAATTTTCTTAAAGAAATTTTATTGAAAAATACTTGTTTGAAATTACATATAAAAAAGATTATTTTTAAAAATGTCTGGTTCACGCGCACTTAACGATGAAGAAGTTTACAATGAAATGAATAAGATGGTAGAATATTATAAAGAAAAATAATTATTTTATAAATAGTGTTTATAATTCCCAACATTTTTTGTAGGTTACCTTCATCAGACAAGAAGCTATTGAGAAGGCTCGTGAAATTAAAGTAAAGGTATGTATATATATGACCGAGTAAACTTTTTATTTTATTTATATGATAATTAGAGTCATTATTAATGCATTAGAGATTTTAAGATTTGAATACTTGAATAATTGGATTCTTTATTGTATTAAATAGGCCGACGAAGAATTTAACATTGAAAAGGTAAGCGTGATAAATAAATATTTTAATGATTGTTATTTAGTCTGAATTGAATTTTTAAAAATAAATAAATATTTGAAGGCTAAACTTGTGCGTCAAGAATCAATTAATATTGAGGCATTATTTCAAAGAAAATTCAAACAAGCTGAAGTACAAAAAAAAATGTAGTTATTTTATATGTTATTATAGACTATATATTATACATGTTATAATTATTTTTTTAAATAATAACTTAATTGTTAATAATAATTTAGTGCTCAATCAAATCATGTTAATAAATCACGTCTCAAAGTTCTTCAAGCTCGTCAACAATTACTTGATGAACTTTTCTTGGACACTAGAAATCAGCTTCAAAAAGTCACACAAGATAAAGACCGTTATTCTACGTTGTTGAAAGATTTGATATTACAAGTTTGTGATTTTTCTTCTTTATACGAATAAATAAATAAATACTTTTCATCTTCGTTTTCATTTTAATAATGATAGCGATAATAAATAATATTTTCTTCTTCTTCTCAAGGGTCTTTATCAACTTATGGATGAAAATGTGACAGTTATTATTAGGAAGTGTGATTTGGGTTTAATCGAGGATGCAATTAAAATTTCATCAGATTTATATAAAGAATCTACTAAATTGCCAATTAAGATTGAAGTCAGCAAAGAAAACTATTTAGCAGATGACGGGTAATTTATTATATGTATATATCTGGTATATCAAATTCAAATGGTGTTCTAACAAAAAAATTACTTTTAAAATATATTTATATAGTGCTGGTGGTGTTGTTTTAAGTTCGTATTTTGGCAGAATAAAGATTAATAATACTCTGGAAGAACGATTAAGTTTAGCACAAGATGAGGTAAATTTATATACACGTATATTGGCTAAGAAAAAGGGCAGATTTTATTAGTGGTTGATTAATCAATCGTCTTTTGTTATTTTTTATCTTAGATGCTTCCTGAACTTCGTGTCTTACTTTTTGGACACTCGCCTAATAGAAAATTCTTTAATTAATTTTTATTTATTATTATTTTATTTATAATTTGTATTAATTGTTACAATAATGTTCAATTTATATATTATTTATAATTATAGCAGTTGCTTATTTATTGTTTTTTTTATATTAAATTTTATAAACATAAAAATATTAATTTGAATATTATAACATCATGGATTTTTTAAACACTGCTATTTCACTTTTCAAAATCATTGATTATTTTCTCAAGATTAATCCACATACATTCATTAATTTTCTTTAACATAATATTGATTACCCTACGGTCAATCAATTTTGCAATCAATATTATCTTATCATAATGATAGGTAAAGATTATAAAACAAATTAATGTAATTTTTGTTAAACATTTGTTCGCTTTATATATTGATTGCATTCCTATGAGCAAAAGCATGGTGGACATTCTTTGTTGTCACATTTGTGCAAAACAATTTTATCACCTGATGTTGCAAATTTGTTTAAATGAATGCAACGCATTTCTTAAAGATTGATCAAGATTTAAATCATCAGCTAAAATCAATTATTCAGCACTATCCAGATCAATGTTTTCTATAATATTTTCCTCACCCCCTTCCTTGTTTAGTATAGATGTATTTTCCAAACTTTCCAATCTATCATTATATAAATTTCCTAAATACTCTATGCCATTCAATAAATAATGAAGAAAATGCTGACATTTGAACTGTAGGTCTTGAAGACATTTGTAATGATATTCATGTCCACAAATTAACACAAATTATCATCATTGTTATCACCTACTCTTTCACAATTTTTGTAATCACAGCAGGAAACAAACTTGGGTAGATAATCAGTGCAATATCCAGTTGGTAATGTAGCCACTTTCATTTTTAAATTGAATTTTGGAAATAGATAAAAATTACCATATTTTTCTGGCATGTCTTTAGATATATTTGAATTTGTTAATATTTTTTGAAAAAATTCAACTAAAAATAGTGCTGATTTCTTAACCATATTATCAAGACTCTTTTTTTGAATGGGTAATTTTTTTAGTTATAAATGGCTTCATGAAATCTGAATTGTGTTTATTACTATCTAAATTAATTGCATCTTTTCTACATTAAAATTTTTCCAGTTGTGTAGCATCAGATCAAGCTATGAAAATTTTCAATAAAATATTCATTGAATTCTGATAAATGTTCTTTAAGTGCATCATATATTGGATGTTCTATACTTTGCCAGTATAAAACATCAGAAAGAAATGCTAACACTATTTTATTATAATTTTTTCTTCAAAATGTTTCATAATAGACCACAATCAAAAAATTGTTGACATGTATTCATCAAAATGGTCTTCTTGAAATAAAACTGTATAAATATCCAAACAAGCTGGTGCTATGTTATCAAACAGATCTAAAAAGGCTTTATATTCAATATCTTTATTATTTTTGAATTTTTTTAAAATTGTTCTTCTAATTATCATCCATCCAGAATGAGCTAGATAAAGCAAAAGGTCTGTCATCCATGGTTGAGGCTTCATTGCAAGATTTTTTTTCTTTTTAAAAACTTCTTTATAAAACATTTTTACAGTGGTTTCTCTTGTGTTTAGTGAAACATGTAAAGATACCAATAAAGGAACTAAATGCAAAATTTTTTCTGGAATATTTGATGTTTGAAGATAATCATCTAATGATTTTAATTCCTGAGGGATAAAATCAAATAATTTTAATAAATTTAAATTTTTTATTTTCTGGGTGAATAATTTGAAAATCAGGATCATAAGTGTGAAGGGTTAAGAAATTAATTGTTTCTTCTTCTGTAAATTTAGAAGAATCAGCCATACAGAACCATGATGACTTTTGGTTAATTCCCAACTTTGACATATACTCTAATTGCAATGCCCAGGAAACCAAATCAACATCAATATTTGTAGGATCATGCACCTGCTCACCTAATGGTGTTATATATGGTAAAGGTAATATATTTGGTGTATAGCAGGGCTGGCTGCATAACTCAAATGAGCAGTTGGCTAAACTGGCTAAACTATTTAGTCATATGTTAAGTCAAGTTTAGTCAAGTTTAGCTGAGATGATTGTTACTAAATTAGGTTTTTAACCTCTTTACGCTGCCAGCCCTGGTGTATAGATCATGGTAGTTGCTATATGAGCAACATTTGATAGACTTTCATTATTTGGATTTTGGGATTGATCAATGTCATGATAATCATCAATAAGAAAAATAATTAAATTTGTAACTTTTTTCTTGAAACTGTTTTGTAAGTTGATGTGAAACCCAAATTTGCTAAAGTATTAATGCCTGATGTAGATGTACCAGTGTTTGACATATATAAGGCTATTTTATTTTTGACTGAATTAACATGCTTGTTTCTAAGACTGGCCATTTGGTAGCAAAGGATCATAACTTTCTTTTTCAAATTTTCTTTTGTAATTTAATTTTTTGATGAAGGATTCATGCTGTTAAAAAGCATATCAAAGAAGCCTACTAATGTAAGGTCTCTTTCCTCAATTATTTTAACAAACTCATCAGGATAATTTATTGAATCATTTTTTTATTATGTTGATAATTATATAAAACAGTGGTTAATCTTTTTATTTGATTATTAAAAAATTTTGAAAATTCAATAGCATCTATATATTTTTCATTGTTTGATGATCTTAATAACTCTATCTCTTTGTTTAATTCAAGTACCTTCATTTTTAATGTTTCAACTGAAGAAGCTTCTTCATTAGTTGTTATTAAAGTTTCAGTTGATATCTGTCTTTTAAATTGTCTATCTTCTTTTTTTTTTTCTGTCATGCATTCCTGTCAAATTGTATTTTCTCATTATAACATTTAGTATATATTGAATCATTTACCTTTAAATTGTAATACCCGCCTTTCTCAGCTTTTAATTTAGCTGTTTCAGTAATTCTTCTAAAATAAGAATACTCTTCTTCTTGACAAACAGAACAAATATTATTTTCAGAAGACATTTTGCTTTTATTAATATAAAAATAAAATATTTATTATAAAGTTTGAAGGACCACAGATCTTTTTCAGATCTTTTAGCAGGTAGTGTAAAAGTAGTAGAGAAAACGATATATGAAAATTTGAATGGTGATTAATTAGTGCACATATACCCATTTTAATTGATGTGACTGGTTTGAGTACTTTAAATAATATAAATAATTCATGTTACACGTTATGTGATATTTGAATGTCCATCATGCTTTCAGAAGAAGAATCTATTCAATACGAAGAATTAATCCCACCTGAAAATTTCAACATGGTATCAACGTGGGTTTATAGAAGTAGTTTTCCAAAAAAGAAGAATTTTGCTTTCCTTAAAAAATTGGGTTTGCGTACTATATTGTATGATTTTTTGCTTTTTTTCTCAATAAAGGAAAAATAACATTTGATTTGATTTTTTTTTTTTTGAGATAAAAAAAGAATGAAATGCATACATTCATACATATATATGTAGATATTTTTTTTCCTTCATCACACAATGATGGATTTTTATTATTTCTCAAATCATGTATCTAATTTTAACTCAATTATTAGGTTATTATAATTATAATCATGGTTTATTAATGAATTATAATAATAATATAACAACATATAAAAAAAGAACTTTAATTTTGGAAGATTACCCTGAACAAAACATGAAGTTCCTTGAAGCAAATAACATCAAATTGTGTCAATTTGGAATTGCTGGTAATAAGGTAATAATCACTACACATAATATATATGTGTGTAATCATAATACTAATGTACAAATGATAATATGTTCCATTAGGAACCATTTGTTCAAAGTATGTATTGATTGGAATGTTAGAAAGATATGAATTGGCTATTTGAATACAATTAAATTTTCACAATATTATAAAAAATCAATAGTTCCTGAAGACAAAATATGTGATGCGCTAGCAGTTATACTAGGTTAGCTGGCTTTCTTTAATTTTCTAAAGATAATAAATATAATAAAGAATTTTTATGGATGAGATTTTATGAAATTATTAATTGAAATGACCTTTAATTCAGATCGACGCAATCATCCAATATTGATTCATTGTAATAAAGGAAAGGTTAAACATTATAATTTTTTAATGGAACTCTTTGAGGTCTTTAAATGATAATAGTGTCAATTAAAATAATTTTTTATTGGTTTGCAGCATCGAACAGGCTGCCTTATAGGATGTCTTCGAAAATTGCAAAGATGGTCCCATACATCAATCTTTGATGAATATCGAAGATTTTCACATCCTAAATCAAGGTCACTAGACCAACAGTTTATTGAGTTATTTGACACATCTCAAGTTTGGAAATTAGTGGATAAAATGTTTATTCCAAATTGGGATGTTCTAGGTAATAATATAAATAATATAACAGATATGTTTAATTATTAATAATTTATTCAAACAAAAAATATTAATTTTTCTTTTTCTTAGGTGATCCATTTTAAAATTTATGCGTGATGATGATAATGATGACTAGTTAATATAACTTCTAGTTTAATATCACACCATAATATATAACAATAATAAATTATTTAAAATTCATATTTTCACTGTTATTGTGTTTTTTTTTTGTTGACAATGATGTTAAGCGGTTTTATCCTTTAGATTTATTATTATTATCGGCAGTATCATCATCATCATTATTACTCACAACTTGATTTTTATCAGTTTTGCTATCAACTTGAATTTTTTCATCACTATCTTGAATATTGTCAATATTTTGAAGTTGATTTTTATCAGTTTCACTATCAATTTGAATTTTTTCATCAGTATTTTGAATATTGTCAATATTTTGAAGTTGATTTTTATCAGTTTCGCTATCAATTTGAATTTTTTCATCAGTATCTTGAATATTGTCAATATTTTGAAGTTGATTTTTATCAGTTTCACTATTAACTTGAATTTCTTGATCGTTAGTTCCACTAGCTGCTTGACTGTTTCCGAGTAATTCCTCTCTTTTCTTGTCCTTTTTTTTGCAATAATTAATATAATAAAGCGCTACTCCAACCAAAAAAAATGAAAAACCAGCTGGCACCGCAATCTTAGCTTTAGAACTATCAGAATTTGAAAAGCCATTTAAAGGATTAGTAGTAATGGTAGAAGGAGCACCAGCAGAGGTAGTAGTAGTATAATCAATAACAGAGGTAGTTGTTGATGACTGTGATTTTATTTTTATATTGATTTGATTTATTTAAATTCAAAGAAATAAAGTAAATAAATTCCACGTATATATAAGTATATATAATTATTTTCCAATTATAATTACCTGTATTTATTAATAACAACATTAATAATAAGAAACATGAAAATTTGTTTCTTTTTTTATTCCTCATCCTTTTTGAAAAACTGATAAATGATAATAATTCATTGTAAACAGTGTTAAACTTTTGGTATTGCATCTCCGAAAAATTGTTCCTTTTAAAAAGGACGAAATTTTTTTTGAAACTGTAACACCCTTACGTTTGTAGAACAAACATTTGAATACGTATCAATTAATTGTGGCCGAAATTAAATTTCGTTGAGAATTTAGGCTCCTAAACTAGTGAAACTGTGTGTCGACCTATGGGCAAAATTTTATAAAACGCATTAATCAAAGCGCTGCCAATCGTATTAGTATGTCGTCTCTTTTTGTTTTAATGATATTTGTATTTTTATTATTTATTATATATATATTTGAGGGGTCCTCTAGCAAAAACCAACCGAGAAACATATTAATATTAATATGAAAAATTCGTTAAACCTGTTAAATCCATTAAATCCGTTGAATCAAGATAAATTAAAATACACTACCTACCCAAAAGTTTCGGTCACCCTAAATTGATGAATTGCGCAAAAGCGTACATAATAATTGCACAAAAAATTTATATTATTTTGATCCTAGGTATTCATGTACTTAAATATAAGATTTTAGATTTCTAGCCTTTATACAGCTCAAATAATAATAAAAAAACTTGACATGAAGAATTTTAAAAAACCTACATATTAACATATTATGAGGTTTTAGATGCGATAATCTAATTTCGTCTAATTCTCGAGAAAAATTGTTTTTTACATTATTTTGGGTAGTTTTTTTTTAAAGATTTGATAAAATTTTAAATTTCGTAAAATGTCTAATTTAACTGAAACTGAACGTGGTCAAATTATTGGTCTCCATATAGGCGGCAATTCAAAAATGAAAATTAGCAAAATTCTTGGATTTTCTAGAACAACAGTTACTTGAACTATAAAGAATTACGAAATAAGAGGTAGTGTCAAAGACTTAACTCGAAGTGGTTGACCAAAAATATTTAAATAATGACCATCAAAAAGTATTGAAAGCAATTGTCAAACAAAACAACACTGAATCAGCTGAAATAATAAAAAAAGGATTTAATTAGAAAACTGGTCTGAAAGTTTCAATCAACACGCTTAGAAGAGTCCTGCATGATATTGGCATTTTTTCTTGTGTTCCAGCATGTAAGCCTCTTATTAATGAGGGACACAGACAAAAGCGTATGGGTTGGTGCTTAAGAAGAAAAGATTAGAGTGTAAAAAATGGAAAAATGTAATATGGAGTGATGAAAGCAGGTTCACCTTGTTTAGAAATGATGGCCCAGGTCATGTTTGGAGGACACTCGGAACAAGGTTTGATATTGAGAATTTAAGACCTACAGTCAAACACGGAGGTGGTAGTGTAATGTTTTGGGGCTGCTTTTTTGGAAAAGGATTGGGTCCGCTTGTAAAAGTTGATGGGAAAATGAATCAACATGATTGCTCCAATCTTATTTGTTGCCATTAATAAACAATAGTTTTAATAATCGAGGTTATCTGTTCCAAGATGATAATGCACCAGTCTATACTGCTAAAAAAGTTAAAGAATGGCTAAAAACAAACGAAATAAAAATCTTAGAAAGTTGGCCAAGCCACTCTCCAGACCTAAATCCGATTGAACACTTGTGGAGTGAATTAGAGACTCGTATTTGAAAAAAACCTAAACCAGCAAGAAATTTCAATGAATTAAAGACCACTATAATTGAAGAATGGAATAAAATTCCAAATAACGTTTACTTAAAATTAATTGAAAGCATGCCCCGTAGAATTGCAGAATGCATTGCAAACAATGGATGGCCTACTAGTTACTAATTGATAAGAGGCTGCTGTTGAAAATTTAAGCCATTTTTAATAATAAAACTATATTTCCAAAATTCTAATTTTTTCACTTCAAATAATCGGAATTCGTTTTTATATTATTATTTGAACTGTATAAAGGCTAGAAATCTAAAATTTTATATTTAAGTACATGAATACCTAGGATCAAAATAATATAAATTTTTTGTGTGGTTATTATGTACACTTTTGCGCAATTCATCAATTTAGGGTGACTGAACCTTTTGGGTAGGTAGTGTATAATAATAATGATAATAAAATTTGTGTTCCGAAATTTTATCCGTTAAATCATTAAATCCGCTTTACTGTGTATAATTAAAAAAATCAAATCACTATATAATTAATATGTAATTTCTTTTTAAAAAACATCATTTCCTGGTTTCAAATTGGTCCTTTTTGTTATTATACAATTCCAACATCATCATTGAATAACCTTTCTGATAGAGTTGAAGTAGCAGGAACGTAAAAAATTTTTTTGGCCGATAATAAGAAAAAGACGTTTTAGAAGGAAAAGGATATCTAACATTCCCAAAAATGTATCTAGCAGAACATGATGACACCTTTATGTTGCAATATTTATGAGTGGTGGTACTCACTGATTGATCGAATGTTTTTATTTGTTGATAATCAGTCAATCAAGTATTATTAAGAATTGGTATTAATATCGATTATCCACTAGTAAAGTTACATTTTTAAAAATATATATTACAAGTAAGGAACAGATTTTAAAGGAACATTTGATCTGATCTGATTAGATTTTATTATCTACATAGGGAAACAATAAAACTACTCACTGTCATCAGGAAATTAAAACTTACAAAATATAATGCTGAGTTTACAGGTGGTTTTTAAATGTAACAATAATTCATAAAATACTTATATTGTGGTTTAGTTTTTACTGTTTTTCGGGTGGAATGTAAAAGTTCCGTACTATTACATATCACACATACAAGATAGGATCGCACTTCATTTAGTTTGTTTCAAAGTTCAAAGAAATTCCTTTCTTTGACAAATCATTACCTTATCTCAATTCTTGGATGGTCAACTAACGCTTCATTGGTACGCCGTACCAGGATGGAATGGGGTACTGGTCCGGCACAATTGAATTTTAGAGTGTCCTCGAAAATTATAGATGTATGTTAATAATTTGTTCCAATGGAGATTGCAGCAGAATCGTGTTGTTGAAACTTTTCGTTGTTATCAGTGTTGTGACCAGAAACAGAAACTGACAGAAACCACCCGAAACTAGTTTAGGTTAGTAGTTTAGGTTTAGGTTTAGGTTTCTGCTTAGTGTAAGTTCATTTTCCGAAACGTTTCGGGAAGCCAAAAGAGTTTCTGGTCACAACACTGGTTCTCATAAAATCTTCTCTTAAAAGGACAGTCGATAACATGTACCAGAGGTCACGAAATTGTGTACTATGTAAAAAAATACTCGAGATAAAACATTTGTTTATTGATGTTGATCAAATGTGTAAATTCCAAATGACCTTTGCATTATCAATATATATATATTAATATATATATATATACACGGTATATCGAAATTCCCTATTTCAGGGTTTATTCCTCTGATTGTGTCGTTTTACCATGCAATGACTACTAGGAAAGCAGTTAAAACAATTCTACGATTGTTGTAATTTTAATAGCATTAGAAAAAGGCACTCCAGGTTTGGATACAACAGCAGATCAGATGTTAGAGTAGTAGTACTGTTTTAGCAGTGTAATCAGGCGGTGATTTTGCTTTTGTATTTATTTGATTTCAAAGTAATAAAAATAAATTTCACATATTTTCCAACGTTGCTAATAATAATCAATAATATTTATTAATAAAAAACAGGATATTTTATTGATTTGTTTATTCCATTTTTCTTTGTCGAGAAACTAATAATTCTTTTTTTTTTTTTAAATTATATAGAAAAATTACAAATTTTAGGATTTAATTCATTCATTTTAAACGTTGTAAGTGGTGTTGTGCAATTTATTATTATTATTATTATTATTATTATTATTATTATTATTATTATGGATACTTCACGTTCCGAATGTGGTGACAATGAACAAAGTTATCACACAAATAAATCGGAATTTCAAGGTACAAATTTTTGGCTATTGTTTTTACAGTCATTTTCAAATAGTTTTTCAATCAAACAGTATATTTATTGATTGTAAATAATCTACAGTTTTTCCAAATAAAATTCTAATTCTATAAAAAAAGTAAATTTTTCTCTAAAATGACTTAGATAATATAATAAATGTATGGATAAAGTCGTAATTATTAATTATTATATAATAAAATTATCATCTAAAACCATCGAACAAATATCAAAAGGTTCAGTGAAATTTCTTGAAGCCTCGACTTTTATAAAGCTTATTGGTTCATTATTTATACAATCAAATTCTATTGTTATTGAATTGTATAATACATTAGAATCTCCATTCGTTTCAAGTTTATCTAAAGTATCTAATTTACTGCATTCATTCTAGAAAAAAAAATTTTTTGAAATAAATAAATATATATATTATATACATATACATGAAATTATTGAATAAATACATACCCAATTATGACCATTTGAAGAAGTTTTAATATTAAATGATGCATCAAAGTTACTTATATCTTTTGAGGAAATTATTTTTATCTTTTTGTAAGACTTTGGTTCAACAAACTGTAAACCAAAATAATCACCAACATGTGGAACTATATAAGAATAACAATAAAAATTGAACAAATTTTTATCTATGTTGGTTTTAATTGAGAAAAGAAAATAATAAATAAATACTTCTAAATGAATTCCAGCAAGTTTTCTCATCAAGGTCCACTGCATTATGATAAGCATGCTGATCCCAAAAAGTATTACTAGGAAAATCTAATTCATTAAATTTGTGTTCATGTTCATGTATATGAGTGACATTATTTGCATAATAAATACGTGATGGATGTGGAAATGGATCAATGTTTGTTATGAAAAGGCATTTATCATTTAAACATGGTGCTCTAATTATATATATATGTATGTAAAAATAATAAGTAATTAGTTTTTTGTTATGAGATTCCATACATAAATATGAATGTATATATATATGTATATGTGTAAATGTTTTTATACCTAGCATTTCGTTCACTGAAATATGGTTTTTCTTCTTCACGCACAAATAATTCAGATCCAGTGTTGACAGCTAAAGCAGTATATAATTTTTGTATTGAATCAAGCTAATAATAGTAATATAAATAAATAAATATATACATGCATGTTTACATGAACAGTTTATAAAGGAGAAATTACATATTTACAATATTTCCATAGACAATAGCCCATTGATCAACACTATTACTCCAACCTTCTTGCTGATCTAATGGTGTCAAAGGATTAGATAATTGATAAGGATATTGGTTTGTCCATATTGAAAAGTACATGTCTGAAAGTTTTAAACGTTCTTTTGCCAAAGAAATAGATCCAAGTTGCCCTAAAAACCTTTGTACTTTTGCACGTGGAACAAAAGAGCCACAGCCAAACCAAGTAAATCCAGTATGAAGATTCTTATCTTTTTATTAAAAATATATACATATAAATTGAGCTCAACATATTTAAAAATGTTAATTGATTAGTTTATAATTTTTCTATTTTTACCAGCATTAGCAAACATCCATCTTCTGTGTTCTAAGTGAATTATTGGCATTGTGTTTGAATGTATTAAACTTGGATTATTTAAGAAATTAGTATACATGCTATCCATATACATGTTTAACCAATCATCATCTTGATAGTAACAATAATCATATTTAGCCATAGAGCATGTTGTATGCTTTGATAAATCATGAAGGTTTTCATCTGAATTAAATACATTTAAAACCATTCCATCACTATTAATAAGTTTAAAATCCTATAAAAACAAGAATTTTTGAATTTAACATAAACTATATTATATCATATCATCATCTAATTGGTTGATTAATTAACTACCTTTACATTAAGCCTGATTTCATCATTATTATTCCAAATCAATATTTCTTTAACAAATGGATATTTTGAAAGGTAACTGACTACTAATTGTAAACTTTCTCTACGTTTCCAACCTAATAATATTGCTGTCACTGGAATCAGCCCATTTTTCTTTAAAGCTTCTTCTGTAAACTGTTCTTTTTTATAATGACTTGTTTTATTTTCTATTTTTGCTATCAACTCTGATGGTAAAACTAATGGCTTTTTTGTTTTTTTAATGTCTGTCTTTGATTCTGGCGGTGACTCATCGGTAAATACTGTTGGTGAGTCGTCATGTTCAGCCCAAGGCTTCATGATCGCAATTAATATTGTGGTACAAATCAACAAAATGACTAGAATAAACTTGACAATGTTGTTTCTACGTGTGAAAAGTCGACCGTGAGTTGATCCACCCCGAAAATGTAATTGATCTTTAAACATCTTTATTATTGTTGTTAATGTTGTTTAATTATTATTATTAAAAAGAAAACTATATATATTTTTTAAATAATTGTTTTCAAGAGCCAATTATTTACACTTTGCTAAATCGTAGAGATACTAACAATAGATCGATCTCGAATTTAGTTTATTATTATTTATTTTTATTATTTTTGTTTGTTAATTAAATAATTTTTTTTTGTGCAACTCGATATAATAATTTAATAAATACAACAGTGTAAACAATAAATAATCAAATCCTACTGGAGAAAAACTTGTATGTATGCCTGTTCTTTACATGCTTTCCCTATCCGTCATGGAGACGATTACGATGAGAGTTTTAAAGCCGTGTAGGATTTTCTAAAATTGTTATAATTTCAAATAGGTTCAATTTGAATAACCATGCTTACATATTTATAATAAATTATAATTTAATTAATATTACCAATTTTTTTATATTATATACAACATCCGATATGGTAACCGTATCCACAAATTAGGATAATTATTTCATTCATACTATTGGAAAGAGTTGCAGTTTTCAAACGATGATGTGCAAGAAGTATGTTAACCGCAGTTGGCAGGCATTTCCTATCAACAACAATGCATTCAAGCGATGCTAAATATACCGTGAAGATTTTTTCTTGCTTGATTAAAAAACTTTTAAATAAAATATAAATTTCCGTTAAATAAATCAATAAATCAATTTATATGTAATTTATTATGGAAACGCTCAACATAGCATTCGTCAAATTGACCAGGTGTTTTTGTTTTTTTTCCAATGCTTCTGCCATAAAACTACCATTTTCTTTCCAATAGATAAATATAGTTTGAAATAGATGACAATGGAATTTTATTACATAGAATTTTTCTTTTCCATCTAAGGGGCAAATGTCCAAATTCTAAATGTTGTTTTTAAATATGAAAAAGAATCGCATAAATGTTTGAGAAATTCTTTCCATATATTTAGCAGCTAACTAACTCTAATAATATATTTATCCTGCAAGATATAGGTTTTTTGCTAATACTTTGTCATTTGTCAAAACATAATTTCAAAAAGCTTACAATAAACAAAGAGCTGTTTGCTCGTGTGAATTTAAGGAGGCATGAAAAGGACCTTGAAGAGGAAATTATTATTGATAATTTTATACCATGTTAAACTTTACCAGTGGCATAGTAAGAAATTATAACTAAAACATTAGCATTGACAAAAGTAAAAAACACAAATTACAACAACATGATACAAAATAATAAACCAAAAAATACAAACATTTCCATGAAAATGAAATTCTCAAAGAAAAATTAAACTGGTGACAAGAATGAGCTCTATGTTCTACAAAGGGATGACAGAAGAAGACACGTCTGGGACATGCAAATTCCAACTCGAAAAATCAATTATTTTAACAATTCAAAAAACTTTAATGATCAATCAATATCCAAGATCTTGTAATTTATCTATAAGAGCATGATTGTTTATATTCTATCAAGATAATCAAGTAGATACAAATAAAAATTCCAAAAACACTAACATAGATGATATAATCTCAGAAATTACTGATGATTTAATGTACATATTTGCCCTGAAAATGCATTGAAAATGTATGGAAAATGCAGAGTGCGAGATGCCCTAATTAGGTCAAAATTAAGTGATGTAACATCATATCGATCAAATAACAAACTTCTTTTTAAAAAATAAAATTTTTATCAGAGCCTTCAACTAAAGAGATACAAACATTAAACCAAAGAAAATTATAGCAAATATATCAAACTTTAGTCTACAGAGAGTTTTTCATATATTCTAAAGAAATTGAAAAAAGATACTAATAAAAAAACTTTATAACCAAATGGGATAGAGACTTGAGCAATAAAATTATAAAAAGTTTTGTTTAACTTTATTATGAAAAAAAAAAAAAAGTTAAAGTTATTCAATTCATGATTAAATTTTATCATAAATTTACATTGTAGCTGTGAAATTAATAAATTAATAGAAATTTCTTTTTATAATTCATGTTTTCAAAAAAAAAAATTCTTGGTTGAATTTGTTGTCATTAAATGTGTTGGAATATATGACCAGCCTGCAGTAAGATTTCTATTTGTTTATACTTTCAATTTTAAAAAAATTTTCTAGTCTAGTTTTAATACTTTCAAATCAATTACAAATTCTGTTCAGAAATATGGAAAACTTCAAACAGAACATGGACTGGTGATTAAATCAAAGCTGTCAAATCACAAGGGTGATGTAACAAATTTCCGTGTTGCTATATGTACATTACTAATTCATATTCTTTCAAATTTTACCATTTTATCATGTTAGTAACATTTAAAGATGGGGACCGCAATTAGCCGCAACTAAATGCAGCATATGAAAATTTAATTGCAACTAGTCGCAATTAGTTTGGGGAGCCATCTTTAGTAGACCACTTGAAAAATTTATTTCAAACTTTGTCCATTTTATTAATTAATTATTTAGAAATTATTCAGCAATTTATCCGAACTTTATCCATTTTATTGATTAAATTTCTTCAGTAAATACTCGGTCATTGATTCAAATTTATCCATTTTATTAGCATATAAGTGAAAACCCATTTTTTATGAAAAATGGAACCATAGATTCCGTGAATATGATACATTTATTATTATTATGATGGAAAAACACGGAAATGTATATTTATTAAAAACACCGAGTTTAATAATAATAATGGTAAAACACTGAGACTAATCACGGAGTAAATTTTTTACAAGGCATGCATTTAAGACATGCATTAATAAATAATATTCATTGTATAAACTGGCATCAACCTTTCGTTGAATGGAAGCAACAATTAACAATTGTTACAGAATTTACTTTACACCTTGCTTCTATTTATTTATTCAACAGAATATGAAATTACTGATACCACATTAAGATATGAAAAAATTAATTATAAATTATGCAATATTATATCAATATCATCCATAGCTTGAGTTTTGGGCATGTTCAGAAAATCCATCAAGTGATCGTACAATAATAAGAAAAATCCGCTAAAATGGGTTTCCATATAATCAATCCATTAGAAGCCGAAACACCAGTAAAGAATCACAAGTTTTAAAATAAATTCTGGAATTGTTTTAATACTTCAATTCAGATGAACAATTCTGGATTGGATGGTAAACCAAGGGTATTTATTATCAATAATCGCAGATATCATGAACTGCAAGAAAATCTGAAAGTATTTTTATCTTTTCTAAAAATTTTCTAGATTTCAAATAATCTAATAAATGGATCAAAAAGATATTCACGAATAAATGAATCTGGCAGTAGTTACTCGAAATAGGATATCAGAAGTCAATAATCAGGGGCTTGATGGTTTTTTTATGGATAGAAAATACAACTATGAGTGAGTTCTTATGAATTGATACTGAAACATACCCTCTAATTCTTTATTTGAAGGATAACAAGTAAGAACTTGGAAAATCTCGAGGCTACTTATCCTGATGGAATTGTGGGGTGTTTGGCAAGCAAACGGAACATAAGAAAACAATGATATTCTAAAACTGAAACGTCACAAAATAATTTTTATTATGCATTCTTTGATTGCTTGTGTTAGAAAAAATTTTTTTTTGTAATTATAATATAATTTCAAGTATTTTATTATATAAAAATTATTAATAGCAAAGTATGTACATAAAAAGAAATCAATTATTCACGCCCACAGATCTCTATGAAATTTTAATTTATAATTACTATAAATATTCTTCTCTAAACGCCAAAATCCCCATCATTGATTACATAATTTCATCCATTCCCACGATACATCTCATCTATATTATCTTCTCTAAACGCTTTAACATTTCTTCCACAATTAGACCTGATAATTCTTCTGTAACACTGGTCTTTAAATAAACAATATATTCGTTTAAATTATATTGATTTTGGTAATATAAACAAATAGATATACAGACAGGTATTTACATCAACTTGATCTGAGCTATTTGTCCTAGTTGTAGTGAAACCCGTCGATGATTTTGATGATATCATAGCCGTGAAAAATAATTGTAGATTACACTATAGATGACTGCACGTCAATATAATTTATTTATTGTTTGATTAATTTTAACTTTGAAATGAGCCACCTTTGAATTCACTTAATGGCTTTCTGATTTTGTCATCATTAACATCAGTATCATTACTTCTATCGCCGACACCATCAAAATCCTCCATATCATTCAAATTAATTCTGCCGGCAGATTTCATGAAACCTTGTAATGTATTACTATTACAGAATACTTCATTTATCATTCCCTTCCACCAACTCTTCCATATTAGCTGTAATATTTTTGCATATCATTCATCCCTTTATGAAAAATTGATATCATTATCACCGCCATCATTTGACAATATACTTCTCGAATTATTCTAGGAAAAAAAACTAAAGATGGTTAGTCCTTTGAAAATGAGGAGTTTTGTAGGAAGCTGTGACTATTTGATAATTAAAAATACATTTTATTATAATTATATGTAGCTAACTGTCAAGATCATTTATAATCTATCTAATTCATCAGTAATTGCAATCTTTTTATTTTCAAAGATCATCTTTGGAATTTTTAATTTATAACGGAAAAATGTTTTTTCTTAAGTGGCAAAGTAAGAATCTATATAACGTCGGTTTCTATACAAATAGAGTCTAAGTTAAAATTGTACCTGTAATTAGCAATTAAAAATATTATCTCATATATATGAATTAATGGATCTACAAGTGGATCATTTACAAATTTGGTATACATAAACAGTAAAAGTCTTGTTTTTACTCGGGCGTCAATGAACAAAAATTTTTGATGAAATTTGATCCTCGAAGTAAATAAAGTAAGAAAAAATATTCCTTTTTTTTTCAAAAATTATTTTTTTAAAACACAAAATGGTTTTATCACTATCTAAATTTTTGATATTTTTTATGTCAATAATTCTTTTATTAATAATGATAACAATAATATCATCATTATCCCTTCCAAAGTTTGGATTAACACCAGGAAAGGAACCAAAACAACTTACTGGATATTTTTTACACATTACAGATTTTCATCCTGATACTCATTACATATCAGATGCTCTAGTAAAATTAAAATGTCATCATCAAAGACCATCCAAGCTTAAAAAACCTGCTTATATGAAAAAAGGTATTTCTGGTCCTTGGGGTGCTGAAGCGACCATATGTGATTCTCCAATCAATTTAATTAATGCCACTTTTGAATGGTTGGAAAAAAATTGGAAAAATAAATTGGATTTTATTATTTGGACTGGTGATAATTCCAGGTATATTGTTATTATTCATTGTAATTGTAATCATTTAAATTTGAATGATATTTTTAGTTGAATTTTTTATTTATTTGATAATTAGACATGATAGTGATGATCTTATTCCACGCGAACCACAAGAAATTTATGATTTAAATCAATTCATAACAAATAAATTCCTTAAAACTTTTACAGACGCAAAAACTATACATATAGACAAACGTCATCGTCATCTTGAAACCATACCAATAGTTCCTTCCATTGGCAACAATGATCTTTTCCCAAGTAATATTGTTTCTGGTGGTCCAAATGATGTCCTTACAAGCCTTCACGAAATTTGGTCACAATTCATACCAACAGGTCAACACCAATATTTTCTTAAAGGAGGATATTACTATGTTGAAGTTATACCTAGAAAACTCATTGTTGTTTCTTTAAATACCTTATACTTTTATAAATTAAATACTGCTGTTAACGGTTGCAAAGTTGAGACTCAACCTGGCACTATTCAATTTAGATGGTTGAACAATGTTCTTAAAAAAGCTAGAAAGCATGGGATGAAAGTTTATTTAACAGGCCATGTTGCACCAAGAAGAAATCAATACATGCCATCATGTTATAAAGAATATGGAAAATTAGCAATTAAATATCATGACATTATTTTGGGTCATTATTATGGACATTCAAACATGGATCATTTCTTTTTTATTAGCTCTAAAAATAAACATAAAAATGTGGGAACACTGATGAATGATCTCAACAATATTGATGATCTTGAGTATGATGATGTTGATGCTGCTGCTGATCCTGCTGCTGAAGACATTAGTTTGAATAAGGAAATAATAAACAATAGCAGTAATGATTCATCTACTTTACCGCACAAATTGCAATTGAACTTCCAATCATCCCAAACAAATATTAATGATGATAATTATGAAAACAGACCAGTTGATACTAAAATTTATGATGTTGATAAGTATTTAGAAAAATTATTTTCTCACTACAAAACTGTTCCGCGGGCAACAAAAGCTGTAACAAAACAATGTGCAGTTGTCAATATTAATCCTTCGATAATTCCAACATTTTTTCCTGCTCTTAGAATTTTTCAATATAACATTACTGAACCATCACAATCACAATCACAGCCACCAGCATCAGAATTATTTATAGATAATGATGATGATGATGATGATGATGATGATGATGATGATATAAGTTTAAATAATAACGATTCAAATAATGGTGATCCTAAAATAAACAGGCCTCATGAAGATGATTCAACTTCGCCTGCACATTCAAATCTATTTTTGACCCCATTAGGTTACACACAATATTTCATTAATCTTACAGAAGCCAACCAATATCCAAATATCACACCAGAATTCAAAGTTGAATATAATACTTGGGATGATTATAATATGAAAGATTTAACTGTTTCAAGTTGGATTCACTTGGCCAGAAGGATTGCTAATCACGGCTTAGGAAGTTCATTATGGGAAAAAGTTAGGGAATATTTGATGGTTAGTACAAGGTCAATAATTAAGCAACGTAAATTAAAACATCAAAACTGTATTTATTCTAGATGCATGTCTAAAGGTCCTGAAGATTATATTGCTACTGATTTAATAATATAATTTTAATATAATGGTTTTACATATAAATTATAATTAATTATTTATTATTTTCTTTTAAATGTATTTTTCAATGTATTTTTATATATATTGGGATTATAATAAACATAAACAAATTTATCATGGACTGATATAAATTTTTTTACCATTCCATAATTGTTATATAACATTTTTATACACGGCGAGTCTCAATTTAATGGACATCCAGGAAATTTATCCGCTAAATCAAGATGTTCTGATACAGTAGTTATATAAAAATAATAATAAAAAGATACATTCATTCGTTTAAAATGTCAACATTATGATAATATTTTATTCTTGTTTGTGTTTGTCCTTGAGAACTTTTATAAATTTCACAGTTCAACTTCTTATTTATCTTTATTATTATAATTAACCTATGTTTTTATAATTATCATTAGATAAATGGAATAATGGTGTATTGTAATATGAATTGCAATATCTGCCAAGTTTTCACATGAAAATACCGTTGTGATCTGGAAGATAAACCTTAATAGAAATATATGATAAATGATCTAAAAATCCTGCTGGTTTTCTAGCAAGTTCATTCTAATTAAAAAAATAGATTCCTTTGTTTTTTTTTTATTTTTGTTATTTAATTGCAGTCATCATTTTATGTTTTTTAATTAATTGTCATTTATTTTTTATAATGGTCTCTCTTTGAAATTATGCCTTTTCGTGTTATTGCATCTGTTTTTTCATTTATTTATTATCCATTCAGTCGGTATTCATTTCTTTCTTGTGCCTAATAATAATAACAAAGAATATTAAATTTTGGATGGTATTGGTGATAATGTTGGTTAAGGTTTAAAAATTTTTATTAATATTAAACTTCTGGTACTCAAAACCTCCACGTCATACATATAAAAGTTTTCAAGTAATGTTCCATGTCGCAATCCAAAAAAGGAAACCAAAGTGGTCGCAAAGGTGGTTGCAACCAGGTGTCGCAAACCATTTTTATATGTCGCAAATATGGTTGCAACCATCACCAAGAATTGCGACCAGCATCTATATTTTCAAGAAACATTTAATTGATGATTCGTCAATTAAAGCCTTTTAATGTTTTTAGATTACGTACTAACACCATAATTAATATAATTAATATTGTTCAGCCAACTATATAAACAACAATTTTTACCCAACTTTTTCATTTCCATCAAAAAAATCCAAAAAGCCTTGGTCCTCTCTTCCAAAAAAAAAAAAGATTTAAATTTGATAATTTTTTAACTTTCGACAAGTTATTAAAATTGCTCGTTGATCGAGTATATATATTATTATAAATATAAATATACATACATATTCACATATTATTTAATTATTTATATAATATATGTATATACAATTATTTCTTTTTACAACAACAAAAAAAAACTCTTTTCAAAATGACAAAATATATTTTCTCTTTTTGCTTTAAAAAATCATCTTCATCGCCATCATCTCCACCAAAATCTATTTTTTCACCTCCAAAAACCTCAAACGTCTCAATTTCTCGTTTCTTTTGATTGCCATTGAAGACTTCTTCATCAAATCGCGTTATTGAAGCTAAATCGCCTAACGAATCGGTTCAAATTTTAATCAAAATTTTTAATAAATATAAAAATATCGATCTTGAAATTTCAAAAGGCTTTTTGGAACAATTCTACTTTATCTCAAATGAAATTAAGCTCCATACTACTAATAGAATTGGTAATGAGGAATATAACGATTTTGATGTTGAAAAATTGGTGGAAACAAAAGAATTTGAGTTTTTTATGGATAAGTTATACTTGATTGTAGAATTTAATTCGAACCACATGACCAACGACGAAAATCAAGAAGATGTGAATACTAAAGATAAATTAAGAGATTATTTGCAATCTTTGAGAGTTTTGACTAATGAACTGACCTTGAACACTTATAAGCTGAAAACTACTAGCACTAATGATGAAATAATCAATGATCGGAAAGAGAGAATAAATGTAACAAAGATCATCGATGTATTATTTTTTAATAAAGAAAATTTAGATTTGGGTCACGATAATTTGGTATCTTTAAATAATCCAATTGAAATTGTTGATGACAATAATAAATCAGAAAGAAAAAACTTTATAAAATAAATTCGTGGAGAACAAGAAATTGGATTCTTACCAAATAGAAATGACGTTAAGAAATTGGAAAATGAATTGATTAAATTAAAATCGCTTGAAAAATGTCAAAATATTCTAAATAACAAGTAAACCTTATTACACTAAATCAGGAAGATCCAAATCCTCCCTATAGCTAATTGTGGCTTCATAGAAAGTCATCATTGCTGCTGCTGCCACCAGCTAGACATATCCTGCCACAGTTAAAATGGCAGCAGAGAGGTCAGTAAGTCCCCCTTATAAATGGATCAGGTCTCTCTCCATAAGTGTTTGTGTGCAAAAAAATGTTCCTTATGTTACGGGCAGCATTAACATCTCGATTCCAATGTGTCAGATAGACTGATTTGCAGACTCTGACAGACCAGAATTTTTGATGCTTATCACCATCCTGCAGTGTCTAGAAAGCTCTCAGCGAAATTCTTTTATAGGGCCCCACATGATGTTGATGAGAATTTACCATCACCAAATGCAACAACTGTACTGTCACCATTGCTATTTGTTATTTTCTTGCACAGAATATCAAAGGCCTTCTGTTTATTAATAATAGATTTCCATTGCAACTGATGCCAGCAACGTTCACAATAAAAATCAAGAATTATATCAAGATAAAACAGAATGTAAGCAAAATATTGCCAATCTTTTCTAAATTGTTACAAAGTATGTTGCACTGATTTGATTGAGTTGTATCGTTAAAATAAATTTTTAAAAAATTTAATTTCTTCTAATGCCTTTACGATTATTATTACATAGGACAAATAAATACATTACAGAAAAGGTTTATAAAAAAATAATAATCAGTTATTTTAAATTTTTTGAAATATCTCTGATACATTTATTTTATTGTTTTTAGCTCCTTGAAAGTCCTGCATTTCATAGATTTGCTATTTATACACATAAAAGACTAACAAAAATAACAGAAGAAGGTATTTTAAATAATAATAAAAAGTAATATTTATATTTACATATAAATTTATTAAAAGGCTTGTTTTGTTTTGGATAACTAATAGCTATCCCATATATTGATAAGAGTACAAGAAGTAGCATATCATTTATTGAAAATTTCAAAGAAAATATAAAACGAGAGATTCAAAAAAGTCAATGGCCAAAAAAATAAAAATAAAAATATAACAAACATTATAAGCAATCAAAATGTGATAGTAGTAGTTCTATAATCGTGTTTTCAATCGAACTTCCATCACGCTGATGAACATTAACAACAGTTTGAGTGGCGCCAAAATAAAATGCATTGTATTATTTAAAGCTATTGTTTTGAATTATAAAATATTGGAAACGTCTTTTACTATTTGATAAAGATTGCTTGACCTGATTTGCATAATCAATAATTATTGACTCGACCAAAAAAGTCAGTATGTTCTATTAAGATTGCCATCATAATTTTTATTGATTCAAAGATGGCATGATGTAGTGCTTTATTTAAGTTGCTTTAATCTCAACATTTTAATTTAAATCGTTTTAGAAGTTGAAAATCCCAATTAAATTGTTGCTACGATGGTGAACATCATCTACCATGCCTTTTAAGTGATTTCTCAGAAATATCACATTCTGAAAGTTCACCAATGTAATTTGATTAATTTATTCATGACTTGTAGATAAAAATATCGCATAATATGGGAGCTTGAGATCGCTATATATTTTTTCATAAATGCCAATGTTATATATTTGTGATTCTCTACAAAACATGCGTGCATCATCTTGATGAAATTATCAAACTCTATTAATACCGGTAATTACTCCTGATGCTTCATTTCAAAATTTAAATACCTGGTGCAACCTGCAAGTAGTATTTTAAACATCAATCAAGTGACCAGGAAAATCCATAGGTATTAAAGATGCCATTTTACAATGCTATAAGTTCCTTTTAAACTCACTTTGGTGCATTTACAAAATAATTTGAATGACTTGTTTAACAGCCTTACGTTTAAGATTACAATAATACTACCGGTATTTCCAATTAACCTATAGACAATACTTTATTTAACATTCACTAGTTAACCCTAACTTCTGCTTATTCACTAAAGCAAATTACGTTACTAATAGTTGTTAGCACTCACTAGTTAATATTAATATTTCTTTATTTGTAAATTGTTACATTTTACACCTTGATAATAAAAATAATACCACTTTGCATTACATTATTCTTTAACAAATTGAAGTTTGTGGAATACCTTTGCTGAAGGAACAAGTGTCACAGAATCTTTAATTATTTACTATATTACCAAAGGGATGGATGCCTTTCGGAAATATAATTGTCATTCTTTATTTTTCTTTTTTGTAAAGGATTATCCATTTGGATAGCGAGGAAAGCGGTTAGTGACTAGCTATACAACTAACGGAAATCTAGCTAGAGAAGGGTAACTATACGCTCGACAGCCAAAGGCTAGGAACTTGGATTACACGCTTGCTATTTTGGTAATAACGACAGGACAATATCTTGTAAGTGAGTCATCATACCCGTTATTGAAAAGGCTATTGTCAACCTATATATGTTATTGGGATTAAGTATTTTGGCCGAGAGAACTGAAGTTAGAAAACACACTATTTTATAGTGGAAGAAAAAGGATGCATGGTAGGAGGAACACCACCCATAAGAATAAAAAGACTGGAAGAAGCATATATTTTATACAAAAGACCATTGCAATTTTACCTTTTAGAATTATCAATTATTTATTTAACACTCAAATAAACTAAATACCAAAAAATGTCATTCCGTATTGAATTTTTATTAAATATAGTGATGAGTTTTTGACCAATGCCATTAATTAACGTGGTATTTGATCCTTTAGAGGAACCTTCAATCATTGTCATTACCGAACGAATCACTATTCCAGCCATTATAATCGATCATAACACTTTTACAAGAAAATAAAATCATCAACTACGAAACATCAACACCTGCCATTACTAGATTATCCACTATAATTGAAGAAGAAATTGTTAGCGGGAGTTGGGGTCAACGACAAGTTGTTATAAACGCAAGTTCGAACAGAAGAAATCATAAAATGTTTGGCCAATCACACATTCTTGAGATACAAAAATTAACCATTACCGTGTGGGTTGATAAAAAATGGTGGCGAAGCAAAATCAGACGAGCATTTTGTTTGGGTAAGTAAGCACTTGTCTAAATTACCGCAGATGCGGAAGACTAACATCATATATAAATACAACTCGTGTTGGAAAAATGTCATTTGTTACATTACTTGGGAATATTGGCCCGAGTGCCCAGGATTATGCCTTCACATAATTGGCATAATTGTTCATTTTACTTTTATGTAAAGTGATTGATAAAATGATGGTTACTGCATTAGAACGTCTCAGGAAAAAAGTCATTATGTTTATGTTGAATCAGGAAAATTAATGTGTTGTTTTTGCAATCATACTGTAAACCATGAAAAGAAGTCTGTTGTTGATAATCTATATAGAGGCATAAAATACACCATAGCCTTTACAAAGATCTTTGGCTTCTTTTGTTACTGATGATTGTGAAACAATTAACATTGCAATAATTGAAACATTTACAAAGACTGATATTCCTCTAGAGAAATTTGATAAATTAAAGCCTTTTTTTTAATTTATATTGTAAAATGGTAAAGGTATAAATAGACAAATATAAAGTTATTGTTTATTATCAATTAATGAGCACGGCGAGATTCTGCAATAATATTACTAAGTTCTTCGACTTTTCTTTTTGCACGAACAAATGTACCAAGCTTATAAATGGTTTTTTTAAATAATGTATTATTAATATTAATATAAATATAAAAAATATCTAGATATTTATTTGATCTTACATACTCTTTTTTTAGCCAACTTTCTAGCACGTTTATCTTTAGAATTTTTCAACAATTCCATAACACGTTTTTCATATGGTGCATAACCAACTACTTCACGAATCAAATCTTTCACAAATTTTGTTTTATTAGATATTTTCTAATTTATTAACAAAAATTGTTAAGTATATATATATATATATATATATATATATTTAAAAGAATTATAATTTTTATAATTTCAAATTAATTACCCCTTTTCTTCGAGAAGGTTTTGGTCTATATTCTCTAGGCGTTACTTTATGACCTTTATTTAAGCCTATAAATAAACCTGATTTTGGTTGTTTTGCTACCATCTTGCTTTTTAATTATTAAAAGAAAATCTTTGAAAAAATTTTTTAGGGGAATGCCCCAAATGACATCATCCGCATTAAATAAGCTTTCGGAAAATTCACTAGGTATTAGGCTAGTATGTGGATCCCAAATGGATTCTTTATATATATATATATTCAGAAGAATTTATCTTCAAAAGGCAAACTAATTCATGAATTGATCGGCGAAGGGTGTTTTTAAAACTCTATTTTTAAAAGATAGGTTTATTTATGCTGCACAGTATTGTTTTTTATAAAAAACATTCTATTTACTATTATTATAGCTTTGTTAGAAACGCGGACAATAGTTTAATTTTTATCATTGTCATCTTTTTTAAATTTCTTTTATATAAAAATTTTTTTAATATATATTTATGGAAATTCTGAGTTATAAATAAATTATTGATATATATATAATTGATATATAGGATCTTGAATCTGTTTATGGTTAGGTATCAATTGTAAAGTTTGCAAGTTGTTTTCAACATAAAAATATCATAAAACGTAAAGTAATCGGTATTAACCAAAAAGCTATTCACGCAATATGAATTTGAATTAATCCATCAAAGACACTCAAGATGGCAAGATCGGCTTTGAATTAAACAAACTGGTGAATTACAACCCAGTTTGTTGGAATATAAAAGAAAGGTCTCCGAACGATAGTTATTCGATTGAAACGGATGAAGGTTTCATTTTTAAAGATTGATGAAAATCAACTCGGCAGCAAGTCAATAATATTAAGAATCCTAAATTTGTCAACTCGATATAACATTTCTATTGTTGTTATGATCCCCTTATGCCAAGATTTAAATCTTGTGTGTCCTATTTTTGTGCCACATTGCCAAAATTTCATTATTTTAATCCCTGAAATTTTTGTATGACATAAATAATGATGTCTGCAAAGTTTTGCCACAATTCTCACGAACAAATGTTTAATAAATAAGAAGACATCAAATAAAACAAAAATATTATCAAATTAAGGTAATCTAATATTAATATTAACAATGTACAACAAATTTAACTTTTCAAAACATTGTTTGAATAATAAAAATAATGATTGATATTATAACGTTAAATGAAAAAATATGGCTAATGTTTAAATTAGAACCAATTGCTGACTGTGGGGTCGGGGTAACAGTAACTGGATTGTCACTGAAAAATTAATTTTATTTTACAGTCGGTTAGTTAATCAACAAAAAAAGTTTTAAAAATGAGTTTATATATAATTTACCTTGTAACTGCGGTGGAAGTGGTTGATAAAGCATAAGTTTCATTGACGCTACTAGTAGGAGTATCGCTTGTTGATATTTTTGCTGTTTCAATAGGTGTTGTTGATGTTGCAATAGATGTTGATGGTGGTGCCTTTGGATCATAAACATCAAAAATACCAGAAAGATTGTCTACAAGGCCATCATTCAATGAAAGACTGTATGTTCCAGGTTTAACATCCACTTTCCAAGAAAATACTTTTGAGTTAAGATCCACATTTTCACTAATAATTTTGGGAATCATTTCTGGAGTTTTAATCACTTTTAAAACGCCAAGATCTTCAGGCTTATCAACTAAACTCCATGTTATCGGATAAAGTATACCAATGGCTATTTTACCCCCTGGAGTATCAATTTGATTTACAATTTCTAATAAAATTTGATTTTTTTTAATTAAAATTGTATTATTATTAATCAAAAAGAATAAAATTTAAATTTAAAAAATATTTCATCGAGACTTACTAGCCGAGGCAAACGTGATTAATAATAAAAATAAAAAAACCTTTGAAATCATACTTTTTTTTCAGATTTGGGAAAAGGGGTTGATTGAAGTAAGTTTTGGGCGTTATTTATAGTAAATTCTAGTATGTGAAATATCACGTGAAATCAGGGTTGTCCAATGAAATTTTAATTAATTAAATAATTATTAATTATAATTTTTTGTGCTTTTATTTTAGGGATACTTGTAAAATTTTAACTCGATTTGTAAACAAAGTATTATGATGCAATTCCAGAAGCTAATAATAGAATGATAAGTTTATTTTTAAAGTTTCATACAGGTAGACACAGCGACTATAATTTTTACATTTAAATATAAATGAAATTATATGTGTTCCGTGTGCATCCTTTGACCTGTACAACATCTAATGTCAACAATTATCAGCAGATAGAGAGCAAGCTCAAGTAATCACAAACAAAATAAAATTATTGAAATTACTGATATTTCCAAAAATAATATTAATATATATGTGTGTATGCATGTGAAACAAGATATGGTGATTATGTGACAGTTCAATATTATTAACACAAGGTTTTTTTAAACCATAAAAAAAAAAAAACAATTTATCATGTTTCAAAATAATAGAATGCAAGTTACAAAAACGTTTGCTCAAGATATTTTTTCATCAAACTAATTACATGTCCAAAATACCAGCCAGACAGTAGTCCCTTTATAAATGTGTCTCAGTTGAAAACAGTATCATCAAGAATATTCTAGAAAAAGTAGTAGTTGAAAGTACTCGCCATCATATCAAATTAGATGTTGAATATTCTTGGATATGTTGAGCAATGTCAAAATGAAGAAAATTTTTGAGTTTAATGAAACATTGGCGTACAGGAAGATGGTTCTTTCATCCATATATGTATACCTGGAGTAAATATATACCACGAAAATTAATAAGAGTGATGTTTGTTTTTTTGCACATAAACATACACGAAATTAATATATCACATAAAAAAGAAAATTATGACAAATTCTTTATCAACTAATCTTTGATTGATAATGTTGTGCGTAAAAATGAAATTTATATGAAATTAATATCCCTAAAATTTTAATTTCATGTAGTTTCACACATACAAGTTAGAAATGTGACCAGAAGATTTTCGATTAAATTTTACCTTTTTCCAATAAATTTATAAAAAGATATTAAATAAAGTTAAAATAAATTATTATCATCATTATCATTAGAAAGAAAGCTGAAATTTATAATAATGCTCTGGTTAATTCTGATGGATGGAAGTAGAAATGATTATTTTTTTTCATTAGTTGAAAAAAATAAAGAGCTTTCTGAAAATGAAAAACAATATTGTAAAGAATGGTTAATTTATGGTATTGAATTAAATAATGTAACTTGTAAAGATGGCAAACCAAAAGAATGCAACAAGTGTAAGTCAACAAAATACTCTGATAGATTCTGTGAAGGCTGTATTAGCTTGAAACTACAGAGTCTTTTCACTACTTGGACATCTGGAAATAACATAGTTGATGACTTTATTCAACAATGTCAAATAAAATCATCTCTGCCAGATTATATTTTAGAATGGATACCTTTTGATCATTTTCAATATGTTACAAAATTAACTGAAGGTGGATTTAGTTCAGTTTATTTTGCTACATGGACAAGGAGAAATATAGTTGATTATGATGAAATTGAAAATGAATTTTGTTATAGTGGAACTTTTGATGTAGTATTAAAATGTTTGAATAATTCAATTAATCAGGAAAAGCATTTTTTGATGAAATTGGATAATTTTTATTTAAATCAAAAATAAATAACACTGTATTATATAATACTGATTGGTTTTATATTTAATTATAGGCAATTAATTATTGTAAAATTATAACTAAATTCCCGGATAATGGACATTATGCAATGGTTCTTAATTATCATCAAGAGGGAAACTTAAGAGATTATTTAACATTAAAAGATAGAATTACAATCTTTGATTATTTATGTACTTCATTAAATGAAAAAGATTTAATCCATTGTGATTTACATAGTGGAAATATATTAATACAATGAAGTAATTGTTATATTACAGATTTAGGACTATGTGGACCAGTTGATGAAAAATCATCAAATAAAATCTATGGAATTATATCATACGTTGCACCTGAGCTACTTAGAGCCAAAGTTAATGCAAAGAACACCAAAGAAACAGATGTTTATAGTGTTGGGATGCTTATGTGGGAAATATTTGCAGGCCATCCACCATTTGATGATAGAGGTCATAATTATCATTTAATTTTTTGATGTATGTGAAGGTTTACGACCACCAATATTACCTGGAATGCCTGGTGATTGTGTACAAATGATGCAGAAATGTTGGGATGTGGATCCATCTAAAAGACCAACTATTGGAGAGCTTTTCACATTTGCTGAAAATAAACGCAATAATATTATTAATAGTAGTATTAGTAGTAATAGTACTAGTAGCAATTCGCAACAAGCACACAAATCACATCCGATGCATATCATACAAGTAGAATATTGGATGGTGAAATTACCAAGTCAAAAAGTATGAAAGCTATACAAGTAATAGCAGTTCATTAAATAATCTTGATATAAACTCTATTCTCTTAAACGCTGATTTTAACCAAGGTAAATAAATACAAATTTCATTAATAAATTAATTTAATTGTTAATTGTTAATTCTCATTTAATTAATTAACAAATTTAGATTCTAGTAACAATAACAATAATAACAAGGGCCAAAGATGTTGAAATATCTATGGATGATTAATTTAATTTCCACCATAAATTTATTATAAATTATATATTTATTTTATCTTTATCTTTCTTTAAAATTTATAATACTTGAATAAATATAATTTCTAATTCTTGTTCTGGAGCAGAAAAATATTTCGAATTGGAGGTTTTCTTTTTCCTTTATTATTATTATTATTATCATTGTTGTTTTTTTTGTTGTTGTTGTTGTTGTTGTTAAGTCACATTTGTGATTGTTGATTTTTCTTTTAATTCTCTTATTTCGTATAATGAATGATGCTGATGGAAATTATGATCCAACACATTGACGTTATTATTATACTATTTTTCGATTGGATTTTCGTAATGTCAGCATCCAACTATGTTGTGTTTTACAGACCCGAGAACTACATGTATACACACCGACTCGCATCGAATATAAACCGGTTCTTTAAATATGTGCATTTCCGTAGATGCTAAACACTGAAAACGCACTGAAAATGTACAGGAAAATGTACGGAATGTATTTTCAGTACAAATATGTACGGAAAAGGGCTCTCTTTTCATGTATAATTCTGTACATATTCCATAAAAAAAATTTTATATATAGGGCAAGTGATTGATGATAAATTCCAGCCTCTTATAGGTAAGACTGTTAAATATCTTTATGATCCAAATAGTGGAGACGAAGTTATACGAATAGGGTTTGGATTTTTGAAGCAGGGCAAACGCGTGTCATTTATTGTAACAAGTCCTGTAATGGCCCGAGCATTAGTAAAAAAGCTTCTGTAGGCTGATAATTCATTTATCAAAGCTCGTGCGATATTGATGGAAAGCAACGAAAAAAATGAATTCTTTGATATTGATACAGCTTGGGGTAAACTCAATTGTGTAGCTTATACAAATACAGGTATTTCTTTTGAGAAATCTAATCACTTTGACATAGTTGTAGGCATTACAAATATTGCAACTTCAGTCAGTGTCAAAGCATTTATCCAGATGATGTTCCGAATTCGCAATCGTGAAAAGCGTATAATTTCTCTTTTTTATCAGAAAAATTCCAATGACCCTTTTCTCCCATCTGGTCATGGAAATATTCGTACAGAGCTTGCGGTTGCTCAGCCTACAGCAGTAAAGGGACATCGCGAATGGGATAAAGCTATTTTTTCCTATAAAACTTGATCAATCACCTGCTGTATTATCATTCATTGAAGTCGAGCATCAGAAACGTCTGTCTGCAAGAAATTTTATCGAGATTTCATGTAGCCTTGTTGCCAGTACTGGGGCGAATTTCAAATTAATAAAAATGGATGAAAGCCAAAGAATTTAAAAAAAAGTTCGTAACGAGATTAAGTCTGAAGCTTTAGTTATCAAAAATACAGATTTTTGATGCAGTCACCATTTCTCGAAATCTTACTCCCGAGGAAGCTGAATTCTTTAAACTCAATTCAGAATGTTCAGTTGCAGATATTATGGTACTTGAGCATTTCTAAACAAAAAAAAAAGTTGTCAAAACAAAAGTTTGAGATTGATTACATTTTCCACCCCGAAATTTACTGGTACTAATAATAAAGATGAATCAAACTTTTCGTTTACTTGTAATAATAACAAATGTTTAATCGAGCAGAAGCTGCAAGATGGATTCAGTGTTTCACGGATGTAAAATGAAAAATACATTTAATCCCATGATCAAACTTTAAGATATGAAGCCTATCTAAAAAGAACTTACTCTACTTACATACACTTGACCTCCGGAAAAGATACTTTCATCCACAGATATGGTTACATATGAGGTAGGATTGATCCTTGAATTTCGTGGATGGTAAACGCGAAGGCATTTTGAAGAGGAATTGTTTTTCTTCCAAAGATAATAATTTATTCATGATATCAATCAATCGTAGGAAACGTCGCTTCTACATTTTTATAGTCAATAAATTTTGTTACTATACCTACAAATATCAAATAGTTTGTTATTTAAGAACATAACGTAATACCTTCTTGTAGGTATACTTGTTTTGGTAAGTTTGTAAAGAAGAAGAAATACATTAATGTCAACATTTTCCAAACGCGTGAATTTATTCACGCTGGGAAAAAGAAAAAAAAAATATTAAATTGTGATTTAATATCAAACGTTATCTTAATAAAGATAATTTTATCTTTTTTGATAACGAAAAAAGATCTTCAAGAATTTTTGATCTTGCAAAATTTTTTCAATGACAAAATGATAAATAATAAATAGGAAGGAATAGAAAACAAAAGATTTAATTATTTAAATTATATTGATAACAATGGCAACACATAGTACAAATAAAACACTAATTTTACATATTTATCAGTCATTACTTAAGGCCAGTAAAAATTTTTCAAGTTATAATTTTCGAGATTATTTTTATCGACATACTAGAGATAGTTTTAGTAAAAATAAATTCGAAACTAGACCATATAAAATTTTGGAATTTATAAAAAAATCAAAGGATGAATTGGCAACATTAAAACGGCAAAGCTATCTAAGTAGTCTTTATAGTAATGGAGAAAAATTAATTATTGAAAGAAATGATAATGGTAATAAATTGTTAAAAGATGTTCCGCATATTCCACACACTGGCCATCTAAACTTGACAAAAAGTGCTAATGCTTCTTGTACACCAGATCTTGAAATTGATAAAAAATCTTCACAATCTCATACTTGTACCTCTTCTTCAAACAGTCAAGAATCATCTTCCCTGAAAGAAGATCAACAACAAGCCAATAAAAAAGATCATAGAGCGATAGGAAAATCACAGCAATTATTTTTAGTACATCCTTGGAGCCCAGGTTCTATTTTCATGCTTCCTCATGGAACACGCGTTTTCCATAAATTACAAAGTTATATTCGTTTAAAATATAAGGAATATGGTTTTGAAGAAGTCATGACTCCTATGATTTTCAAAAAAGATTTATGGGAAATGTCTGGACACTGGCAAAATTACCAGAGTGATATGTTTACTGTTCATGAAAAATCCATTCCAACTCAAAACGATCATCACCACAACGATAGCGATTCCAATGTGAAGCCCAAATCAGATAATGTTTTTGGTTTGAAACCTATGAATTGTCCTGGTCATTGTTTGATATTTGATAACAGTTCAAAATCATACCGTGATTTGCCATTAAGGCTTGCAGACTTTGGATCATTGCACAGGTATTAGTGTATGTGAAAACAATTATTTATTTATACATGAATTTTATTAAATATTTATTTATTCATATGCTTTATTCACATTTTAAAAAAAACTTTTTTTAAATAGAAATGAAGCATCGGGAGTACTTACTGGTCTTACTAGGGTTCGACAATTTCATCAAGATGATGCACACATATTTTGTAGGGAATCGCAAATATATGAGGAAATATCTTCAACACTGTCATTTTTAGAAAATGTATATAATGATTTCAAATTTCCACATTATGAGATGGTTTTATCTACAAGACATGAGTCAACTTACATTGGAGAACTTTCAGAATGGGATATTGCTGAGGAATCACTTAAAAAGGCATTGAATCAAACTGGAAGAAAATGGACACTGAATCCAGGAGATGCAGCTTTTTATGGCCCAAAAATTGACATAATGGTAAAAGATGCTCACCATCGTATGCATCAAACAGCAACAATTCAATTGGATTTTCAACTTCCAAAACGATTCAAATTAAAATATCGAGATGAAAACGGCTCAGATAAAACACCAATCATTATACATCGTGCCATACTTGGATCAATAGAACGTATGATGGCAATATTAATAGAACACACCGGCGGGAAATGGCCTTTTTGGCTGAGTCCAAGACAAGCAATAATTATTCCAATAGGTGGAACAAAATCTATGGATTATGCAAATCAGGTTAAGCAATCTTTATCAAATAGTAAAAGACATTTTCAATATTTCATAGATATAGATAATTCAGACAATAGCTTAAGTAAGATGATTAAAACTGCACAGTTAGCACAATATAACTTTATTTTGGTTGTTGGTGAAAAAGAACAAGCCACTCAAACTGTTAATGTTCGTCAGCGTGATGAAAGCTCAATTGAAAACATGACTATAGAACAATTACTATCACATTTTGATTGTTTAACTGAAAATTATTTATTAATTAACAAATGTTCATAAAACTTATCAATAATGTTTATTATTTTGTTCATTGAACATCAAAGATATTAAATAACTGACTGTTTTTTTCTCTGTAACATATTAATAATATTAAAGAAATTTTATTATAGCGACCTGCACGCTTCTGTGAAAAATTTACTTTTTTATAAACATGGGGTTTTTTCCTCCAGAAAAATAAAAAGAAACCAATTCGTCGACAGTAGGTGTGATTGTAGATGCACACTTCAAAAGTTTTGGCCAGTGGAATAGAAATTGCTGAAAGTGTTTCTGCAATTAACAATAATTTAGATGTAGCTAAACAAGCACTTGGTGTAATTGATGCAGTTGAAGCATTTAAACCTTTTGTTCCATTTATAGGCATGGTAACTATTTTAGCAGAAGATATCTTTAAAGTGTATAGAAATGTTCAACACAACAGAATAATATGCAATGCTTTTCTTGATCGCGTAGAAGCTTGCTCGATCATTATCCATTAAAATTCTAAAAACGTAGAATAGAAGAAAATAAAAAGAATTTTGTGATGAAATGTTATAAAAATTTTTTACGTTTTGCTAATTTATTTGAGTAAGGTGAAAGTTTCCTTGAGGATGCAACTCAACTTCATGGATATAAAAAATTTATTAATGAAAACAGCGTTAAGGATCACTTACCAGAGAATTTTTGATAATGCTATGCAAAGATTTGCATTTTACAATAATTGCTCAAAGACAAAGTGAAATTGATAAACAAAACGTACAGGAAGATCTTAAAGAGATATTTTATCATCTGTTAAATTTAAAATATCTATAGTTTTTAGAAACTATTCAAGTTGGTATTCTTTTGATATTAGCAAACAAATTGATCCAGTACTTCAAGGAAGTAATGATTATAAAAAGTCAAATAGATTCGCTTGATTGCAAAACTGTGGACAAAGGAGATTCTATTGAAGCAACCAAAATATCATCATCTGACCGACTTGGAGGACCCTTCTTGTAATATATTAAAATTTTATGGTATTTGCGTCGTTGACGCTTCTACAGTAGTAATGGTTCTTGAATGGGCAGAAATGGGTAGTTTGAAAGAATTTTATGAGAAATATGACATTCCAAATTTGAAATAGTTCTTGAAATTGTCGTGATCTTACATTTTTGCACTCTGCCATATTCTTCTTGATGATACTTGTGGAAATATTTATTGTTAAATTTTTATTTTTATTTAGTGGATAAAATTGTAACCAAGACCGCACTAAAACTCTTCATGTGATACAATTTATCCTGAAAAATTGAAAAATGGACTTCAAGTTTAAAAGTGGTGTATTAATCAATTGGATTTTATTAATGTTTGTTATGGTATGTTGCTTTGGGAACTGCATTTGAAAGAATTCCCTATGAAGACGGGATGTAATAAAATTAAAGATTATGTATCAGCTGGTGGTAGAGAAAATATACAATTTTGTAAAACAGATGAAAGAAACTAAAAAAACTTCAACATGCTCGAAATTATTGTATGAGGTACGGTTAATAATTAAATCCACAAACAAATTTATTTATGTATTTATGTATTTGAAATTATCTTTAACTTATTATTATTATTATTTGTTTTTCAATTATTTATTTATTTACTTCCATCCTTTATTAAGATCATCACTTCAATTGGATGATTTAAATTCAGCGGCATTCCCTAGTTCTGCTGCTGAAACAGGGTTATTTCCGTCAAAGTCTATAGATACTTATAAATCTCCAAGGCAAGACAAAGATTAGTTTTCTGTAAGTTACAAAGGTTATGGTAATAAATACAATGAATTACATAAATATGAAACGTTTATACCAATTATTTCTCTTGATGAAAATATTATTGCTCATAAAAACAAAAGATTACAAAAGCGCACGGACATATTTCCAAGCACATACAGATTTAAGCAATCCAGTTGCAAAATATCGGAAAACATATTATTATTTGTAAGAAAGGCATGCTGGTTGCAAAGATAAAACATCGACAGTCAAATATTTTAAATTAAGATATACATTCTCATTCTTTGAAAATAAAGACAATTTTAACAAAGAATTTATTCGTTATCTCAGATTGGCAGCTGAGAATTCAAATGCAAATTCCACCGTCCAATTTAATTTGTATCTTAATGGAAAACTTGATTACCAAGAGCAAGGGATTAGATATTTGAGACTAGCAGCTTTAAACAAACTTCCAATGTCAAATAAAAGTAGAAACATTGTCATCGATGATTGTTGTTATTGTCATTTTATAAATGATTATTTATTGTTTGTAATATTGACTAATTTAGTTTTTATTTTATTAAAAAAATATTAATTATGTACAATTTAAAAAAAAAAAAATATTACATTATAGAATGAAATAGTTGCTATACATAATATATATAAATGAAGAAAACTGTCGATATTTAAATATTAAATAATAAATATTATATATTTATTTGCAACAATATTGTTGTTGTTGTTATTATTCTCTATTTCTTCATTTCATTATTTCATCATTTGGTACAAACAATAATGATGGTGAATCTTTAGTTAAACTTTGACCAAATCTGCTATCATCAACACTTCCAAATTTGAATTCTTTGTTATTTAATATATCGGCATCATCCGGAATGTTTATTGCGCTTTTATTTGATTTGTCAAAATGTTGATGAACAAATGGAGATATAACAGAGTTGACGAGTGATGATGACTGTAGATGTTGTACTGGATTCATTGCTATATTATTGTTGATATTATTAGGCGATGATGATAATGATTTTTTTGATGATTTATTAATATCAATGGAAGTTACTATAGTTGTATTTTGTTTATTATCCTTTAACATAGGTGTATTTTCAGATCCAAAGTTATTTTTGCTTTCTTTTCCCTCTGCTTCTGTTTCCTCCTCCTCCTCTTCCATCACCACTTTATTAATTAAAAGATTGTTGTTAATAATATTGCTATTGACATTCGAGAAAATTTTTTTAGAGTGATGATTATTTGAATAAAAAACACCCTTAGAGGTTCCTTGAGCCTCATCATCATCACCAACAATTTCTTTTTGGGTTGACAATTGTGGACGATAATAATTATTCTCATCACTATAAATTTGAAAATCATTTGAAAAACTGTTTAGTACTGTTGTGGTTGTGCTTGAAATGTCGGCAGTATGATTGATTATTGGAACTGGCGGAAGAACGCTAAATATCTCAGAAAATTGATCTGCAGTTTGATATGTGCAGAAAGGATCTGTACCTTGTGTTACCATCTAAAAACCAAAAGGAGTTAATGGAAATGGACGAACAAACCAATTCAATATTTAATTTGATATATTTATTAATAAATTACTTACGGTGTCTAACAAGGGATCCGCTAAACCTTTACTAGATATTCTATCAAAAATATCTACTTCAGCCTTAATAACTGTCGAGACTTTTGAAAGAATAAATTTAAGATTATTTTGTTCAGTTTCTAATGTTTGCCTGTGATATTCAGTTTTCATCCGATCTAAATCTTCTACTTGTCTAGTCAAATCTTGTAAAGCCTTTTTTCAATAACACAATTATAGTTACAATTATTTTTGGAGAAAAAATTTAAATTAAAATTAGATTAAATTAAAACATCTTTACAAATAATCATCTTTTCCCCTCCTATATTCAAAATACATACTCTACGAAACTGTGTAAGATCTAATTATAAATATATTTATTATTATTATTATCATTAATTAAATAAATCCAAATTATAACGATGACGATATTTAAATTTTTTTACCTCTTTGACGTTTAAGACCAATTCGTAAATTTTCTGCCTCCGTTTCTTTAATTTTGTTACTCATCTCTGTTAATGTATTATCATAATTTTCCTCGCTTGCAATGACTGTTGATTTATGCGTATCAAGATTTTCCAATAATGGGATTTCAAAATTTTTGTAAAATGTATCACCCTATCAATCAAAAAAAAATTTTTTTTAAATCACTAATGGATGAATAAATAATGATTTAAATATGCGCACATATGTATGTATGTAAATTACCAAAAGTTGATAATGATTTGACATAAGAAAATGTAAGCCAGCAGCAGCTTGAAAATTTGGTCCTAATAAATAACAATTGAACCAATATGCATAAATGCATGAATAAGAATTACCATAATTGGTAAAGTGATAAATAAATTCATCTCATGGCAATAATTGTTCAATGCAAACCATCTTCTAAAGCTCCTTTACAACGAGCAATTCTTTCCAATGACTGACCAAAATTAGCGGTGGCCTGTGAAAGAGCTATCATTTGATTCCTGTATATCTTTGCAGAAGCCAAAAGCTGTTCATATGCTTCAAGTGAGGCACGTATATCAGCACGAGTAAGAATGACCATTTTACCAGAAGTCGCCTCAGCTGTTCTAATTGAATGAGTGAGAGAATGTGAGGTTCTTGCGGAAAGAGTTGGTGAAGTTGACGCAGAATATTTATACATTATGTATTATTATTTGTGATTTAGGCTTTTGAGGAAATTATTGATGAAAAGGAATGGTGAAAAAATTTTTTTTTTGAGGAGAGGTTTATGAAAAATCAATTAAATTAATTAAAAATTTGAATCAAAGACGAGGTTTATTTATAAAAAAAAAATAAATAAAAAAATATAAAAAAAAAAAATCTTAAATAAAGTTTATAAAATTGGGAAACCGGTTAATGTTCATGAATTTGTGTTGCGAACCCCCCATTTTTGGAATAAAAAAAACAACTTTTAAACAATTATTCTTTAGAGAAGGAAAATAGAATGCTACCTTATGAATGTTTAGAAAATATTATTTTAAATCTAGAGTATGATATTTATTCATTACATTCTTGTTTGCTTGTAAATAAAGCTTGGTGTGTAATTTCCGTGTCTATACTATGGAGATGGACATTCATTAATACTCATAGAGGAGAATTTGATTCACCATTTCTTGTTCCTTCTTATTTTCCATTTTTATCTGAAGAATCAAGATCTTTAATCGGCATTAAATTAATATCATCAAAAAGTGGTGATGGTGGTGATAATATTGGTGACAATGGTGGTAATATACAATTTAACAAACCTCTTTTTAATTACCCATTATATTTAAGAGGATTTAGTTGTGATAAATTGATTAGAATGTCGGCAGTTTGGGTATCTTCTTTATCAAATTCATCAAACATGACTGATAACACTGGATACTACCAAAGAATCGTTCTTGGTCAGGATAATCAAAATTTAATGATTGTTGTTGCAAAAGAACTATATAAATTGTTTTTAAATCAATCAAAATGTTTGGAACGTTTAGACATTGATACGCTTGGGTTTACTGATGATATTTGGTATGATACGATCAATATAGTATCATCATCATCACTACTGTCATCACAATCTTATTCTCCATCTTCATCATCAGTATCGATATCATCCTCCTCATCATCATTATCATCATCGTTATTTTTTGCATCTTTAAATAAAAACATAAGTTATAATAATAGACTGTCAAATTTACGAAAGTTTACGTGTGGCAATAATATTATTAAAAAAGATATTTTTATTCTTATTTCTAAATGTTGCAAGCTTATCAAAGAGTTGAAGATCATTAGCATCTATTATGATGATCCTGCAACTGATGCCTTAATTGATCTCATTAAATCACAAAAAAATCTGAAAAAATTCACTATATCACAAGGTGTTCAACTATCAAGAGTTCTGGAATCACTTGAATCACAATCGGATTCTTTAAAGTTCTTGAAATTAAATATTTGTAATTTAGACAATACTGACGAGAAATTATTGAAGGGTGTTGCTCAATGTAAAAATTTGGAACAATTAAAATTTCATGCATGTCGTGAATTGACAAGTTCTTTATTAAAACCATTAGTTGTTAATAGCAAAGATGCATTGAACAAATTGAAAGTGTTGGACTTTTTTTCTTCTATACCACCTGAATATGAATTATCTTCAATTGTTATTAATTCCAGTAAAAGTTTAAGAGAGTTAAGTTATGACGGTGTTGGCAATTTAGAAAGATATCCTCATATGATTGATATAATTGCTGATAATTGTCCAAATCTTGTAAAATTAAATATTAAAGCGACACAAAAACCTTTACCACAGTTATCAAATCTCTTTAAAAAATGCAAGAAATTGCAAATTGTTAGAATAAAAGGAAGACCAAATTCAGGCGACAGAGTTGACAATGAATTGTTACCAAGATTAGCTGAATTCACACCTTTATCGTTGAAAAAGTTTGAACTGACAACATTTTGTGCCTTTTCTTTTGATTCCACTCAAAAATTTTTGAAAAATTGTAATTCACATATTCAGGAAATAACATTACGTTGTTTAGGAGATCATAATTTGTATCTTGATGCATTTAAAAAATATGGTAAAGAGAAAGGCATGGCGTTTAAGTCTCATCACATAGCACCTTTAAGATATGATGCAAAAGATATCAAAATCGTTTTCTCTCCTGATTTTTCACATGATCATATTGTTTGGCATAAATAATATATCAATAGATTAGATAAGTTACATAATCAAAACTTGGATACATCATAGATAGGGGGAAATCTTTTTTTATGAAATAATAGATAATCTTAAGGCTTTCTAATAGTTTTTTTTATTATTTAGATTTAAATAAATAAATAAATTGGATTTAATATATTTAATATATAATACAAATTTTGATTATTTTATTTCTCTAGTTGTTCAAGAAATATACAAACAGTGAAACATAAAAGCAACACAAGCAAAAAAAAAAAGAAACTGACCTATATAGTAGAACAAGCATTATCAAATATTCACATCATCCATATCACTGACTATTCTGAATATTAATATTAAAAAAAAAAGAAACCTAACTATCATCCATAATAATGATAATAATTGTATTTGAATATTTTTTCCTTGGTTTTTGAATTTCTTCAACCACATACTCGTTGCTACTATTCAATCATTTACATCTTCATTTATTCTAAATATTATTAATAATAGTAATAAATTTGGTTTTATATATGTGTGTATTTCACTTTTGAGTATTTTAAATCTTATTTTTGGTTTCTTCCATTATATTCTTATCTGCCATTGTATTGCTCAATCAATCGTTAAACTATCCATCAAAGATTTAAAATCATAAATTATTTTATAATGTCCAAGTAAAAAAAAAAATTTAAAATAAATAAGTTTGTAAAAAAAAAGGGTTATTATTTAAATATTTACACCAAAGGGGTAGATCATTACTTTTTTGATTTTTATCACGTAAACAAACACAGTCTGTCGCGTGTATATTTATTTTATCTATCTATATTAATATTAATATATTTTGTAAAGTAACAGAGAATAATAATAATGGCGGAAGCATTTACTTTACATCAAGAACTTTTAAATCTTCATGATGCAAATTATTCTATTTCAAATGAAATATTTGTCGCAGACTTGAGCAAGGAAGAACTTGATGAAATGTTGAATGGTATCTTTTCTAATACTTAGTACCAATAATTATAGTTTAAATTATTTATTTATATATGTATTGTTATTATCATCATACATAAATTTTATAGTTATTGAAGATAAACTGGGCGAAGATTCTTACTCGATAACAAATGAAGAGATATTTGATGTTATTCGTAGTTTTGTAAAGTTGGTTAATTTTTTATTTTTACTATAATATTATTAGTGTTATTATTGATATTATTGACATTATTAGAAAATTTCGCTTTGCCTAAATTAGATACTTCAATTCTTTAAACTCTGAGATTATGAATCGAGTTTTTGTGATTATTTTTTCAGGTATCATAAAATACTAATCAATATTAATATTGATAATAATAATAATAATTAATTCCTAAAATTTTTGTATAGGATTAAAATCTGAATATGATGCTCTGATTGAAGATTTGAATAATGATAATGAGGAGAACTTTGATGATCACAAAAAAACTTTGGAAATATATGGCTTTTTGTTATTTTGGTTGATCACTGACGTAGAAAATAAAATAAATTCTAAAATTGGCGTGACTGGGTCTTTAGAAACAACAAATGTGTCAGCTGCTAAAAAGACTAAATCAAAATCAAAACAACCAAGGCCAAAACAGTCAAGGCCAAAATCTAGTTCTTCTGTAAATGCCAACTCTTATGAATGGGATTGGAATTGTCAAAAAGAAGAGGCATTATCTTTAATGAAAAAGATCTTGGGTTCAAGAATTAAAAGAGTCTGGACTACAACTCATGAGAGAGAAATATTTATTAGGTATTCGTTCATTTATTTTTTTTTTACATTTTACTTATTTGTCTTAAAAATATATGTTTGTTAATTTATACCTATTAGTTTATTTACCAAGACGGCTTACAAGATGTTGGGAAATGTCAACAACATAAAAGCTACATCTATCAAAAATTTAATTTATGAAATTATTTCAATAAGCGTAAAGGATTATAATCATGGATTTGGTAATAATTTATATCATCTTCATTTTATTAGCAACCAACTTAAAATCAATTTTCTTCTAACATAACCAACGTAATGTTAAAACTGGTTAGATGCTAAAACATATATTATTCAGAATTTGCAATATTATGATTTTCTTTCAGATTCAATGGCAGAGCTCTTACAAGTACTTGTTGAGCAATATGACAATACACAATTAGTCGAAGATGTTTTAATGTAAACTTAAATATGCACATACATACATACATACATACATACATACATTATTTATATGAATTATATTTAAATAAAAATAATTTTTTTACTATCATTTACAGAGAAATTTCGAATAAAGAATTCACTAGTCAGGATAATAATAATGTTTCAAAATCCTTTTCAAAATTTCTAATAAAGTTATCAGAACTTATACCAAATTTGGTGATGAAACAAATCAGTATTCTCGTTATTCAATTAGATAGTGAGGTAAATATTTTTAACAGCATACATGTATGGATTTGTTTTAAAAATTCCATAAACCAAATTTTAATTGAGTTTTATTAATAGTCCTATATAATGAGATCTTGTTTGATGGAAACACTTGGTAATCTCATTACATATTTGGTCAACAATGAAGATGACATGCAATTAAATCAAAGCCAAGTAAATAGTTTCTTTGATGCTCTTGAAGAACGCTTTCTAGATGTAAATGCCCTTTGTCGCTCTAGATTATTACAAGTATATTTGAAGCTATGCAAGTGGGTTTTAAATTACGATATATATACACACACATATATATTATTTCAAAATTAATTATCCCTACCATTATCAATCAATGTCATTGCTAATGTTTTACATATATATATATACACGTTGTTGTTGTTGTTGTTAGATTAAAGGCAAAATTTCCAAAACGTAGACAAACATTAACAGACTTGGTTGTTCGGTCTCTTGAGGATAAAAGTTGTCATGTTCGAAGAAATTCCATCAAATTATTAACAACTTTAATTACTACGCATCCTTATGGAGTAATACATGGTGGCGAATTGAAATTATCTGAATGGGAAGAACGATTATCAAAGATTGAAGAAGAATTGAAGGTATATAAAAAAATTGTTTTATATAATAAATTTAATTCACTATTATTTTATTTAAAAATGCACTAATAACATTATTATTATTGTTCATGTATTTCTTAATGAAGTCTATACAAGCTCCACCAGAGCTTCAAGAAATTAATACAGAGTTAGATAATGATGAATACGATGATGATAATAATGATCCTTTAGGTGAAAGAAATAATGATGTCATAATGACAGATTCAAATCAACAAACCATATCTAGGGATGATTTCGCAAGGCTCCAGCTTACTAGACGATACTATGCGGACGCAATTAGATTTATTAATCAGATACACACCGCTATTCCTACTTTGTGTCAACTGCTTGCTTCCACCACAAAATCAGAGGTGCTTGAAACAATTGTCTTTTTTGAGACGGCACATACTTATAAAATGGAATTTGCTTCTGAAGGAATTAGCAAGATGTTACATTTAATTTGGACAAATGATAATAATGATGAGGGTAAAGGGGTCAAAAATCGGTTGGTTGAAAGTTATATAAAAATGTATCTTGAAACAACTGAAATGATAAGCCCCGCTGAAAAGGCTAATCAGATAACTAAAAATTTAATAAGGTGATCCTTCATTTTACATATGTTATTTACATAACAGATGGGGTTAACTATTTTTTTACGTTATATAAAATAAAACAGTTTGACAATTAATGCAACGCTTGCTGAATTAACTTCACTTGAACAACTGCTGAGCATAATAATGAATGAGAAAGATGCTATATCAGAAGAAGTCATTGCCAAATTATGGTCAGTTTATTGTAAGTAGTAATTTATAGTAAAGATGTCATAAATTTTTTCTTTTAAAAAAAAAACATTAATTTTCTTCCACGCACACACACATATATATGAATGATAGCCACACAAAAAGATATACCAAAATCTCGTCGAAGAGGCGCTATAATTATATTAAGCATGTTGGCAAATGGTAAGATTGATATTGTAAAAGAAAAAATAGATTTATTATTAAAAATTGGATTAGGACCACTTGGTAAAGTAAGTATCAGTTGAAGTTTAAAATGGGGTATTTTTAAATATATGTTTATAATAATCATATTATATATATTATAATCTATTTATTATTAAGGCTGATTTAATCCTTGCAAAGTATACATGTATTGCATTGCAATGTCTCGCAGAGAATAAAAAAAAAGTTAAAGGTAAAGTTTTTAACCAATTACTGCACCTTCAAACACACACGCGCATATATATTTATATAACTTTTTATATATATTAGGATCTTTGAACCATAGTACAAAAAAATTTCCAATTTCACATTCAATTTTTAATAAATTAATACATATGATTGAATACCAAACTTCATCCAATTATTGGTAAGTATTATTAATCTATAATAACATTATCATTACTTAGTAACATTCATCATTATCTTTATTAATATTTTTATTATCATGTAGGTTTTTAATGGCCGAACAAATTATCAACACTATTTATTTAATTTGTGAACAACCTGATATTTTATGTGCTGAAATTATCAAAAGAAAAACGGTAAAATTGTTTGATCTTAAACAACATTCTGACGATGATATGGAAATTGACATGGCAGGCGAGGGAGAAGATTCATCAACATCTGAAGCATTTATGCGAGATCCAAATCAATTAAGTCAACTTATATTTATTGCAGGGCATGTAGCGATCAAACAGATAGTCCATCTGGAAGCGATTGAATTGGAATGGAAAAGACAAAAAGTTGAATTAGGCAAACATAAGAGTTCAACGAATTCTATAGATGATGAATTAGAACAAGTGACAGGAACCAGTGAAGATGATATATATGAAGTTTTAATGTATATTCGTGAACAAGAACTTCTTTATGGTTCTGATTCATTGTTATCAGTTTTTGGACCTTTAGTAGTACACATATGTTCAATAAACAAAAGTTATAATGTCAGTTTATTTTCTTTTCTTTTATAAGTGTCATTGTTATTTACTCTTTATTAATTCTTAATTTTTTTAACAGAATCAAATGTTACAAGTAGTATCAACTTTAACATTAACCAAGTTCATGTGTGTTAGTTCTAAATTCTGCGAGGACAATCTACAACTACTATTCACAATACTAGAAAAAACCAACGATCCAACAATAAAATGTAACATTATCATAGCGTTGGGTGACATGACAGTTTGTTTTAATAATGTCATTGATCAGCATATTAATTATTTGTATAATAGATTGTCGGATGATAACACACTGGTTAAGAAGAATGCATTGATGGTGTTAACACATTTGATTCTTAATGGAATGATCAAAGCTAAAGATCAACTTATCGAAATGCATAAATGTTTAGGGGATGATGATCAGAGAATTAGCGACCTTGCTAAATTATTCTTTTCGGAATTGGAAACTAAAGATAATGCTGTGTATAAAGTTGCTATGAGAAACCTATTCCCCAGCACTAATAATACTAATAATACTGAAGATGTTGATGATGTTGAGAATAATAATGCTATTAATAATAACGTTGATAGTAATGATGTTGATGGTGGTGGTGATGGTGATGGTGGTGGTGGTGATGGTGATGGTGATGGTGGTGATAATATGGTTGATGAATGTAATGCAGATTAATACAAATAAAAAATAGAAAAAAAGTTATTTCAAATTTGGAAAGAAGCTGATATGCTGCACGCGACCGTTAAAGGACATGTCAGAAATCCATTTATTATAAGCACTGAGCTAGGGATCGACTCGAACCTGTTTAACAACGATTTAATTGAACGGCAGTTAAGTTCGGTTTAAGCTGCGAGAAATAATGATTGTTCTTTCCCTTATTATTAAAACAAATATGTCAAGTCCGAATAGCGAAGACTCGTCACAGGTGCTCCATTTGACGAAATATCTTTTACACTCCAAAATACTTTTGCCGCCCACTTGATTGGGATAATAATAATAAAATGGGTTTCTTTGAATCGCTCCGTTTTCCTTTTGTGTTTTATTGCTGTAACACTAAAACTGATTTTGGATTGTTTACTTTTTCAAACCGATATCAAGATTTTAGGCTTAGTGTTAAAAAAGAAAGAAAGATGACCAATTAATGGATCAGGAGATAAAACAGATTTTTGATTGTTCTGCTTCCCCTCCCCGAGATTACATGTTTCTGAAGAGAGAATGGATTAATTGATTTGCTTGTAAAAAAGTGAAAAAAAATTGGTTTGGAAGACTCTAAAAAAATTTCTCTTTGTTATAAAAAAGAAGACCTTTTGCCTAGTGTTTGAAACTTTTCCATTTTTAATTAATTTTAATTAAACATATACAAAAAAAAAGGTGGATCACAATATATTTGTTGTGATGATTTAATTATCATCCTGACGAACCAAAATGGGCATTTATTAGATATATGTATGGAATAATTGCAAGTAATCCAAGAGAATTCATATTATGAAAATATTAGATTTAGATATATTTCACCTGAAAAATTCCTAGTGTAAAAGCATTCTCACCAGAAAGAAGTACTGTTATTATTATATTTGAGGATTTAGCGTTGTGCCAGAATCTATACAAAATCGAATCATTCCTTTTTTCACATGGGCGGCATCGTAATATTTCTAGTATATACGTAATAATCTTTAATGGTGGTAGCAGTCTCCAAAATTATTAGACGTTATACAGATGATGTTAATTAATAATGCTTCGATGGTTATTAATAATTATCTTTGTAAAGGAAAATTTATTGTATTTGACTTAAATAAACCTGAAGATGATGAACTTGCAATACGATTGAGATTTGATACTTCATTAAATTTATAAAAAGAATAGAATTGCGTAAAAAAGAAAAAAAGAAAAAGTGAATAACCAACTAATAATGCAGTGCGTTAAGTTTATTAATGCAAAAATAAAAATAAAAATAAAAATTATTTATGTATGGATTGTGTATTTTAAAGCAAGATTTTAATTGTTTCAATTGTAATATCAAGTTCTTTTTTTGTTTATACTATAAAGAGTCATGTATGCAAATTCAACCTATATGAATACAAGTTGATAGTTAATATATAATATAAATTAATTATTCTTTTTGAATTTTGTTGTTGTAAATACAAGGTCATTCTCAAAATAATGCTGGTCCTCAATCTCAAGTCGTCGTCTTTCCTTTGAATGGTTCTGTTCAATTTCAATCAATGCACTTGAAGCTTCGCTAACTTTTATTCGCAAAAATTTCAAGAATTGCATATACTTCCTCTAGTGAATACAATGTTTCTAAATTGCATGGTATTAAACATTTGTCAACTAGACCAAAAAGGTAAACTCTCCTGCTGCACCATTTCATTGCATAAACATTTAATTGGAATCCTGAAAGTTTGTATTAAAATTAATAATTTACAAGCATAATTACATTAATATTCCAATAAAACATAATACAAATCGATTACTTGAATTCCGTAAACAATGAGATTTAAAAATTCAATATTTGACTGGTTGTAAGTCTTAATAACCTGATTTAGTTCATCTCGCAACATAATCATAAGCTTGAGTTTATCAATCCATTGTTTACGTCTGCAGGCTTCCGCTTTTCCATTCTTGATTCCTCCCGATATTTCACCATGTACAACCTGTAATTTATAGTTTGGAATTTTTAAGGTTACTTTCAGGTCAACCTTATGTCCGATCTTTGCTTTGTTTTCAGGACTATTATTATAATTTTTTTAATTTTTTGCATCTATATTTGAGCACGAAACAATTCCTCCCTAGTGATATTAGCCGGCTAGACTTTATTGCACAAATTTGTTGTGGAGTTTTCTTGACATTCAAGCGTCCGCGGCAGACTCTTGTTCTGTCGGAAGCCAGTGATGGCGAGTCATATAGTAGATGGCCGGCTAATGAATGAAGGGTTAGATCCCTTATTAATTGCTTAAATAGCCTTATTCTACAAAATACTAATGAATTTTTTTTATCCTATTTTCCCGCAAATTATACGATAAAATGCGAGAAACTTTATTGATATGATGATACCAATTTTTGCAAGGCATTCGAAGGAGAAAAAAAAAGTACCTATTAGATATTCAGTAATTATTTTGATGATATAATATCTGGGAGATAATCCTCATTTGAGTAAGAGCTATCAACAAAGTGTTTCAAGAATTATTTTATTAATATGTGTAAATTGCTTTTCTAATCGTTGCTTGTCTAATATTCCCTCCAAGTTTGCGGATGCACATCACTACATTTCATTAAAAGTAAGATTTCTTTCGTGAATAATTCTATTGAAGACTTCTTTACCAGATGTTGAGGTAATGTTCTTATATTGTTTTTGTTCAGAAGAAGCAGAGCTTTGGATCATTTCCTGTAATCAGAAATTTATTATTATACATTTTACACGTCTTGGTCCAATCATTACCTAAGCACAATTCAATGCATCGTTATAACATTGTAAAATTCAATACAAAAACAATGCAATGGTCGTTATCACTTAAACATTAAACAATACATTGATTATTATTAAGTATTAATTACTATATTTATTAACAATATATTGATCATTTTATTTAAAACATAGATAAATTTATAAAATATTCATTAGGTTTATTAAAACGCGGAATAATATGAACTGGTCCAATAATAGAATCAATCGCTATAATAGTAAACATTGGAACGCTTTTCATATGCGGACAATCATATTTAAATAGTCTTTGTGAATCATTATATTTAAATTTATACCAATGAACTAATGCTAAATTCTGTTCATTATGACCAGGAATCTAAACTAAATAGCATTAAAAGCTTGTTGTTTGACATAAAATTTAAAGTATTAGTTTAAAAATATAAAGAATATAAGAAAAATTGCTGTTTTTCATTTGAATTTAGGGTATTTTTCATATTTTTTGGGAATGGTATATTTAAATCTGGGTATAATTTTCTAAAAAAAAAAGTGGGTAGAGAAAAGGTGATTTACTATTAAACCTCAAATGTACCGTCTACTAAGATTGTTCGGGGTCCTATAAAAGTATATAAAAACTACTTATTTTAGAAAAATGTGCCTTGAAACAACGAAATGTGCCCCAAAAATCAGCCTGAATCATGTAACATTGCAGAAATCGGTGGGTTAGATCTTTAAAAATATTAATATTAATAGATAATTTCTTTTAATTGCTAATAATCTATTATTACAATTTTTAAATAAAATCTTTAAATTTTTATTTAACAATAACTAATATAAGTATGAAATATGGTTTTTATGTATTCTCTGGTCAATATTACTATTTACAATAAAGAAAATGACGTTAATTGTGTATCAATTTGTGGCCATGAATATCGTTACCAATGTCTCAAGACCTACAGTTTAAATGTCAACATTGTTTTGATTATTTATTGAATGGTATTGAAATTTACATAATGACGAGTTAGAAAGTTTAGATAATACATATATATTAGATAAAGAGGAGAATTAATTTTAATTAAAGAGCGCGTAAAATTAAAAATATAATTTGAATTTTATTTTTTTTCGTGTGATTTTGTGGAACAATGAATTAAAATTTTATGGTGCCGTTCATGATAATAACAAACAGGAAAATTAAAATCACATTTGTAAATGAATTATTGATAAAACATTTATAATATATGTATGTGTACGTATAATTATTACACAAAATATTTAAATAAAATAAATTTACAATTAAGAATTAATTTCAAAAACCAATGATTTGGATTATTATTATTATTATATACATCAAAACATAAATAGACAAGTATATATAAATATATATACATTTGAAAGAGTTTGTAGGAATTACAACAACTATTACTATCGAGAAGGAGAAGGTGATTGTGTACTAGGCGGATTATTGGATGATCTAGAACCACGTGAAGCACTACTACGTGAAAGTCTTGTAGCACCTGGTAGAGCTGGACTAGGAGATGGATGTTCAGCCTGTTGTTGCTGTTGTTGATGATAACCTGAGGGAATAGAAGCTATGTCGTGTCGAAAAGAAACATCGGAAGGATCACTAGATGACGTTGTTTGGTATGACTGAGGGCGAGGTCTCGTTGTTTCTCTAGAACTTGCGTCCGTATCTATTTGATGATGAAGGGGAACAGAAGATATGCTATGTCGAAAAGGAATATTAGGATCGTTAGATGTCATTATTTGGTATGGTTGAGTACGAGGTCTTGTTGTTTCTCTAGGGCTCGTATCCGTTTGTAATCCAGTGGAACCTGACATCGGACCAATACTTTCAAGATACAATGTTTTATCTAATTGATCACCTGAATGACTAGGTGAATGGTATGGTGAATTTCTACCTGAATAAATTGGCGAGGAGTGTTCACGAGGTGATCCGATGGGATTTATTTGCAAGGGAATGTCACTAACACCACCTAAACGTGTTGTTGATGATGATGTTGATGATGATGGTGATGACGGTGAATATTTTGTTGGTGTTGGTTCTTGGGTTGTCCCTGGAGAGTCTTGATAAGGCAATGACGCTGTTGAAATAGACTGTCGGTACAATGATCCAAGTCCACTATCAGATGTACTGCTTAAATCAGGTATTTTTTCACTTTCATCTTTTTGTTGAGTAATGGTGATGGAAGTGGAGAGGTCGACTGATTTTGGTTTTGGCAATGACTCACTTTCTATAAACCCTGTTGATTCTGATGGATATTGTTTTTCGTCGGTATCCTTAAAAGTTATTTTTGATTTTCTTTTCCAGTCGCCACTTGAAGTAGACCTTTTAAGTTGTTGAATTGTTTTACCATTATTACTACTGTTTCTTCGTTTAAGATTCACGAAAAAAAATGCAAGGCCTGCAATCACGATTAAAACGACACCGGCTCCAACACCTATTAAAAACTTTATTTGTGGATTTTGTTCAGAAATATTCTTATTTGATTTCGTGTTAAAAATAGTGCTGGTTGGATTAGCTGCCAAATTAAAATTATTTGGTGTACTTTGTGTTGTTGTAATGTCAGCATCAATGGAAGACGATAAATGTAGATCCAATGGTGTTGTTGGTGAAGATGGTAAGGATTCAGAAGGTTCATCTATAAGAATATCGTATTCTTCATCCTCTTCTTCATCGTTATCATCGTCATCGTCATCGTCATCAAATGCTCTCCTATTTTCTACTTTATAATTACGCTTTTTAATTAAATGCTTGATTGATTTGTTTTCCATAATAATTTTTAATAAAATTATTAATATATTTTACATTATTGGTTACAGAATATTTTCTTTCTTCCTTTAACAAATAAAATTATTTGGTTTTTTCAAGAAAGAAAATACGGATATATTATTCTTCATTAAATATTATTATATTTTTTGGTCGTTCCACTCTTCGTGGCTGTGTTGAATTTCTACTATGTAATAATATCAATAGTATACGTTTGTTTATTTAAAATTTTTCTTCTTTTGGTTATTTCATTTAATTCCCTTTTTTATTTTGGCAACAATTTTTTTTTCTCGTAAATTATCATCAATTTCCTTTAAAATGGCTATTTTTTCTTTGTGACTAGTTAAAACTTGATATCGCATATAAAAGATTTATGACCCGTAGGTAAAGGGAATTTGATATTGTGACTGAATTGTTTATTTGCACAGCCTTAAGGATAAAAATAAGCCACATTTTTTTATTTTAATTAAATTTACAACTATGATGGATGCATCACCAAAATATACGTGTTTACACGTTCACGTGACGACACCATTCATCAATAATAAAATGTTTAAATTAACAAAATTCTTTAAAGAAAAAGAAAATCAACTTTTCACAAATTTGAACACTATAAACTTTCCTTGATTTTATTTTCTTCTTTCTCATTTATTAATTATTCAATAACGAATGTTGAGATTCAGATGATAAATTGACCATCGAAGTGGATGCGCTCGTTGTACCGAAAACGGTTGTTTCATTGGTTTGATCATTTAATGTGGAATTGGTGTTGTTGTTACTACTATTGTAACTTTCACCATAAATTGCTCTCATGCTAGCATTAGAATCGATAGCGGTGGTGATGAAATTATTGTCGTTACTAATATCAGTAGTTGCTGTTGTGGTAGTGGTACTTGCATTCGTAGTATTATCGGAAATAGTTGTGCTGGTAATATTATCAATGACAGATGATTTGGAATTGTTAATATTACCGTCATCGCCTTTATCGTTATCATCTTTATATTCATAATTTTGAACATCGATCACTGATTTCTTTTCATCGTCGTTATAAGAAGTGGAAGGAACATAATGATATTCTGACATAATGGCACTTTTAGCCAACGAAGTTGGTAAAGAAGATTTTGTTGTTGTGTTTGTTGTGGTTGAAGATTCTAGAATTCCAGAATTCATAAGTGACCTGGGCATTTGACGTTTTCTTCGCCGAATACAAATACACCATCCGATTATTGTTATTACTAACAGTATTATAAGTGAAACCATAACACATGAAATTCCCGTGAAAATATTTGCAAGTGGGTTATCTTCATTTTCGGCAATTGGATATCCTGTGATCATTGAATCCTTTGGTGATTGAGAGGTTGTAATTTTTGCTGATGCTGTTGTTGTTGCTGCCTCTAATGATGATGTTGTTGTTACCACTTCTAATGAAGGAGAAATTTCAAGATCTTCAAAATTTCCATCGTTTTCGTTGCTATTATCAACACCAACTACATCTATAACTTCTACCAAGATCGCCGAATCGTCATTTTCGTAATCGTAAATATCAACATCAACTTTGGCAAATTCAAGAAATTTGTGATGTGGTATTGCCCTTATTGAAATTATAAGAAAAATATTTACAAGCAAAAGTAAAATAAATTTTTTAGAGAACATGTTTCACGATCCTCGTCTTGATTTTTTTTATTAAAGATAGATGATTGATTTCAACATTTGACATTTATTTATTTATAATTTATTGTGGCTGTGTTTTTGAAACAAGAAAAAATTTAACAAGTTTAAAGATTATCAAACGCTCTAGTACGCGTGTGTATTTATTAAAAAAATTTAACCCAATTTATTAATGTTAAAAGCAAACTATTTTGTCACGTGAAGTGAACGAATTTCTTTACCAAAAAATTTAAATTATTTATTATAAATCTACAGACAGGCTAAATAAAAATACAATTAAATAAATAAAATGATTAATCATCAAATTTGTTTAGTTCCTTCTTCATATAATACCACGGTATCATATATATTTGCTCCTAGTTCTATTGCAGCCATTGAACTCTTGACAACAGCTATTTTTAATGAAGAGCAAATAAATTTTGTATAATAATTGGTATGAATTGCTCTACCCATTCCCTAATGTATACACATATATATATATTATACATTTTATTTGATTAATAAATGATATGAATATATATTATATATTTATTTAAATAGAAATAATCTTTTACCTCTAATACTACCAAGTCAACATCTAAACAAGCATTGGCTAATTCTTCATCGATTCTTCCAAGATCAAGACACGGACCAGAACTTCCGGTTCCCATGACTACAAGTTTCTTGGATGCCCAAGCTGCTGCTATCAAATTATCAATTTCAACCACTGATTTTATGATATTTAATAATTCATCAAACTAATAATAATAATAATAATAATAATAATAATAATAATAATAATAATAACAATTAAAATTAAAATTAAAATTATCAAAAAAAAATTTTTTATTGAATATGAGGAAAAACTTACTGTAACATCATTAATAGCAGGATGATTATTAGCTGCAAAAATAACATCAGATCCGCGGGAAATAAAAAATCTAGCAAAAGGTATCATTCCTAAAATGATGTCGGCACCAGAATTGTCAACAAACATAACTACTTTTTTGAATGACGAACGATTATTGATTGCTTGAATAAATCTTTTTGATTGATTTAAATGATTGGTTTTATTTATTTTATTATGAGCATTGCTAAACGATAGTTCACCACTTGTCAACATTTCAAGTATTTTATCAGATCCCCAATCAAACATATTACCAGCCAAAATGTTACCAATCAAATATTCAACTTTTTCATCAATGGAAATAAGCGAGTCAACTTTATTTAGAACTTCAGGAAGATTTTTTAATGCGGTCTTATTTTCTTCTGATTTGACTTTTGCAAAAACGTCAGAAAAACCTAGTTCACGTAAACAATGTTCTCTTAAATTCAATGAATTTCTAACGGTAAAAGCTCCATACATGTTTGGCTGATCACGTAATTTGTCCAGGTGGCTTCTAAATAATGTATCAAATGTTGAAGCACGACGTTTAGCATCTTCATTATCTTCTTGCTGTTTTTCTAGTTGGAGTGGGCCTTCATTATTAATAACATTTTCATCTGAATTTTTAGTAGTATTTAAAGAAGTAGCAGTATTGGTGTTGGTGGGTGTGGTGGTAGAAGAAGAAGAAGAAGAAGACCACCCGGCAGCCATTTTCACAATATAAGGAAGACTTTTTTCTAAAGTGCTAATCCAGCAATCTTGAATCTGAGGATCTGTTAATGATATGGTATCAGGTTGATAATGGGTAATGTCACCTATTTTTGGGAAAGCAACTAGTTTTGTTGGAGTGCTTTCTAAAATTCCATAAGCATAAGTGGAACTCCCGGTTATCTTTTGAGACATAGTAAAGTTTTCAGAAAATGAATATCTATGTCTTGTCCTGTGCTTCAAGAAAGCACCTACGGTGCCCAAGTAACCTTCGTGACGAAGGAAAAAAGCCTTCATTGTTCCATTTGACCAAAAATTTATAGCATAAGATAAAGTGTTCATTGTAACAGGGTGGCCTAATCAATCAACGGACAGACAGACAGATAAATATTAGTTGATTGATAATAAAGAGATCAAATATTCATTATTTAAAAGAATAAACCATCAATCACCTCTTATGAAACATCCACCAAAATATATTTTATCCAGACCATGAAGTTTTGCATTTAAATATGCAATTTGACCAATATTATTACTAAAAATAATAATTAAAAATCATATATTTAATATATGTATATATATATATGATAATAATTAAGATGCACATATAATTTTTAAATGATTATAATAATAATTACCTAACCATAAATAATAAAGATTTTGAAATGTCTTCACTTTTAAAATCGCCCATACTCTGTCTAACATTCTTTTTGAACACTTTTCCCATAGATGAAGCAATTGTTGTGGCCTTAAGCCCAACCTTTGAATAATCAGTTCCATAAATATCACCAACCAGCATATCCTATAAATAAATATTGCTACTACTATTATTTTGAAGTATTATAGAAATAACAATAAATTAATGTTTGTTTAAATACTTGCGACATTAATGTTATCACCATGTTTACTAGATTCTAACATTTCTAATTATTTGGAAGAAATAAAGCAATTTAAAGTAATTTTTGATAGAATTTAAATCAATTGATATCAATTTTCAATAAATACCATCAAAAGATTTTGCTCCAGTCAACAAAGATAATAATCCCCATAATGTACCACCACCTAACTTGTAAATATAAAGAATAATTATTTACAAATTATTTATCATCATAATATTATAATAATGATAGTAGCATAATATTTACAGATGTTCCAGAAATACGTTCGAATTTATCCATAGCTGTAACTTTTAATATGCTTTATATTTATGAACGATGTAATAATAATGATCATTATTATTATTATAATAGCTAATTGATAATAAGTTATTTATTTATTATTATTATTATCATTATTATAGTGATCATTTACCTAACACCAGATCCAATATTAACAATCTAAAAACCAATTAAAAAATTAACACATATATGTTATGAATTAATAATGATGATGATAATTATAATAAATGAGTAGTTAAATATTTTCACCATATAAGGAAACATATTTGAAGGAGTGCCTTCAAAACACATTGGGTTTTGTTCACTATAAGTAAAAACTTCATATGGAATTTCTGAAATCAAAAAATTTAAGCCTAAAATATATATACAGTATATAAGTATATATATATTTATTATATTAAAGATCTTTATATATAAATTAAATATATAAATGGTAATAATTTATTAGTAATTTACCATCTATAAGACATTCCATTTCATCTTCTTTTTCAATTTTTACTCCTTTTAATCTTTCTTGAAAAATTTTATAATATTTATGTGCACCTCCACCAGTTGCTTTAATTACTACTTTTCCATTTGAATTATCATTGCCATCATTGTCATTACCATTATTATTATTAGCGGTTGAATCCGATTGTTGATTAATTGAGCGTGTTCTTGCAAAAACTAAATTTGCAATAAAATCAATGCATTCATCAATCTTTTCAGTTTCAAATTTTATAAAATTCAATCTTCCACCATTTGAAGAATTTGGTCTTCTGGAAAAATATACAACTTTGGCTAATGATCCACCAATCTTTAATGTTTTGGGATTATTGATGATATTTGGATCAATATATCAGTATAAATGTTAATAAAAAAGTACAGGATTAATATATTGTATATGTATGTATATTAACGTATACATACATCAACAGCTATTTGAGACACGTATTCTTTTTGATTAGGTAAAACAATATCGCAAGTCTCAGGGTGAGGTAATTCATCACAAATAGTGGCACCAGTTACGTCCATTCTCTTGTTTTTTTTAAAAATAAGGTTTTATTATAATGAAAATCATTTTAAATTAAAGATTATCAATCTTACTATATTCTTATTCAGGGGAAATTCTAAACTTTAAATAATTGTAAGCAAATCATTATTATTGTAGACAAATCATTAATAACGATTCACAAATAATTGCATTTTTTGGGAATTCTCTATTCAATTAACAATGCCATTTCGCAAAAAAGGATTGAAATCTTGACCAGAGAAGGAAAGAGATTGCATAAAAAACCATGATTCATTCTTACATTAATGTTGATATTGATGTTCTGGTGACTAATTATTATATAAATAAAGACCAACTCGGACAGGCTATTTAATATTCTTAGGACCATGGCCCTAAGACTGTAGTCTAGATTGAAGTTCAAGACTGATGGTCGGTATGGAGTGACCGTCTTAGAATGGGCCAGACAAGACCGGACTGTTAACATCCCTCCCTCCTTCACTACTCACTCATACGATACGGCCACACAAAATTCAAAAAATATTAGGTCTCAAAGTGAAAATAAAAGTAATGCAAATAATATAAATTATAATGAACATAATTCTTTTGCATCATCCATCACTTAGAATAATATGATTATTGATGGAACCTTTGGTTCATACGCTAATGTTCATATGGGATATGGTGGTTATGTCACCAATGCGAATGAATTGTAATCATAGAATTATTGACAAGTTTTGGATAAGTTGAGAGGAGAAAAAAATCAGTTGTGGACACGTATAAAAATATATTTAACGTTAATGAAGGTGTTGGTAATCATACAAGCATTGATATTAACAATACTGATGATTATGATGAATTCTATTTATTTATAAATACTGTATCAATAGAAATAATAATACAATATTATCTTTTTTCCCTTGTTGCTAAGGCTTATTCTTTCTTGTTGCAAACATAAATATACAATATTATCATGCTTTATGCTTTTCTATTATATATATGTGTGTGTATATATAGCACATAAATTTTTTGAATGAATGATTTGATGAAAGGATTTCATGTGGTGTAAATTATCTATTTACATTTATTATTAATATTATTAATGTTATAATAATTTACTATTAAGATTATTATTATAGTAATCCTTACTTTTCTGATCCTGATTCTGATCCTGATTCTTTTCCTTCTTCAGTTTTTTGTTTTTTTGCAGATTTTTTCTTTCCTTTTTTCTTTTGTCGTTTGGCACGGTTTTTTGCAGTTTTTAGTTCCTCTTGCGCTTTTATAGATGCGATTTTCTCTTCAAATTCACGTTTTTCCTCTTCCTATGAAAATAATTATTAAATTAATCAATTAATCAAAATATATAATAAATAAATTTGTTCCGAACCTTAGCTGTCTCTTCTTCCATGAGTTTTATTCTTGTATATTCTCTTCGACGATGTGCTCTATAAACATGAAATTCTCCACTACCAGCACCAGCACTTGATCCTTTTTTTTTAAACATGATGGTAATAAATAGTATTATTATAAAATATATGTATATATATATCAAGTAATATATCAAGAAATTAATTAAACAATTGGACAAGGAAATTTTTACCTTGTACATTTCTAACAATGTCTTTTGGAGGTTTTAGTTTTGGTTTATCTTGTATTTCAGGTATAGTAACGGGCTTATCTATTCGCTGTAGCAACCGTTCTACTTGTAATCTTTGAAGATCCAAAGGCTTTAAATTATGTTTTTTTTTGCCAGTTTCATTACTTTCTGAATCAGAAGATACAGCAGTATTTGATCCTTTCACTGTTGACATTTTTATTAAAAAAAAAAAGGTCGTTCGTGTAACAATTAATCATTCAAAATTTTCAGATTAGAAAAGGCAATATGTAGGGGTGGGGCATCTGACAATGTTACACGCCTAGAATTTTTCATGCCGACTTTTTCTTTGTCAATAATTTTGAATTATAACAGCCCATCCTACCTGCTCTTCAACCCTCTTGATTTCAAATGGGTAGCAGTATTTATCTAATCTGTGCTTTTGGATTAATTACCCAACTATCTATCTTATACAAAGGTTAATTGAATAGTTAAAAAAAAAAATTGGTGGAACAAGAAACGATGACTATAATAATAATAATAATGAATATTAATTGAATGCTTCTAATTGAAATCTCTTGTATTAAATTTACCCATCCTGTTAATATTTTCCTGGACTTCTAAACTTTTCTTTAGATCTAGAAAATTTGTAAGCTTAAATAAAATATATGGGGCATGCTGCAAAAAAACCAAAGTGAACATTGGTGTTACCAAGAATTTCAAGGTTCAAAATTTAGTTATCATCATTGTACTTAAAGAGACTTGTTGTGAATGATTGAGCTGGTAATTACCATTGCTGCAAATAACCGATTACAACATGTGTCTTTAATTGTATTACTAATCACTAATTTTTTTATATTGTGCAATGTAACTTTATAATACATGGCAAACATTAAGTGATAAACTGGATTTGAATCATATCTGAACTTGATCTCCGACTTAGAGAGGTAACAACTATATACTGGTGAGGCATAACATTTTGAGCAACAACAAATTTCCATTATGCTTATGTTGATGGACTTTTCATTTATGCAAACCAATTCATTTTTTATTAATTGAATGACCCTTATTAAAATATAATAAAGAGATAACTTCTTTATCTGAAGTAGCACTATCGATATTATTACCACCAAAGATTTATCAAATTACAACAAGTGATGAAAATGAAAAAAATCATTCTAGTTTCATTCGTTTCTTCCCTCTAACCTCTTCTTAAAAAATAATGTCATCATTTCTTTGTCAATTTGGATTTTAACACTTTCATCTGTTGTTATTCTTTTATAAGAAATGGTACATAAATAATCAAAGTTTTTTTGAATATTAATTGTATAAATAAATCTTGCTTTTCTGGAAATGTCAGAACAATTTCGAAAAAATTTCCATTAACTGTGACAGTGATGTCATCATCTTCAACATCAATTTTCAATTGACCCTTAGTTTCTTTTGTTATCATTTGGTGATATAGGACAACGAAAACAAAGTCACTTTTGTAACATAAATAAATAAATAATGAATATCAATAAAATCTGGGATGTTAAAGAGAAATAGAATAGTACAACAATACCCGTTATTGATCATTGTGAAAGGAACTTCACTCTAAGAATAAAAAAATTTTGTTGTAATTTTTTATTTATTAACAATTAAATGATTAAAAATTAATGACTTACATTTTTGTCATTGTTACTACCACTATCATCAATAATGCTACCATTACAATTATCATCATCATTAGATAAATGATCATTATAATTGTTGTAATTGTTACCAATGGCATTGTCACCAAATTTGGATACAATGTTATCAACAGCTTTGTCACCACCAGGTTCAGATACGTTGTTTTCAATGACATTGGAATTAAGGTTTCTGGTCCAAACTGTTTTCTCAAAGCCCAAACTAGTTTGGGCAATTTGGGCTTCTCAACATTTTCTATAAGCATGAACATTAAAAAACTATATGAATCAACTTGTTTTAACTTAAACAACTTTAAAATAATTTCGCCCAATTTCGGCTAATAACAAAAAGTAGTTTGGGCTTATAAAAAAATAATTTTTGCCCAAAGTATTTGGGCAATTTCGGCTACTAATAGAAGCAGTTTCGACCAGAAACCTTAATTGGAATCAGGTAAATTATTATAGTTATTGTGAATAATATCATTGTTATTAGATAAATCATTATCATCTTTGATATCATTGATATTAGAGAAGTTTTGTTGATCTTCATTATCAACATTATTAATGTCATTGATATCATCATAATCGTCAAATAAGTTTGTTTACTCTTAGACAACTTGAAAATGTAACATTGATTTTTTGGTCCAATAATGCCATCTCTATTTTCATCATTAGCATTCATATAATTAATGAATATATTTTTTTCATTGTAATCTCGAAAATGAATATGATCCCATCTAGAATCTGAAAATTTTATTAGAAATTATTATAAACCAATTTGAAATATCAATATGACAATACTTGCTTTTCTTTCTTTTTTTTAAAATATGTCAGAAGCTTAATTGTAATCCACACCTAATCCAATCTCCAATTAATGTTTTAGATACGTGAAAGTTAGATTTAGACTAGGATGATGACAAATGGTAATAACCTATTCTTTTTAAATAAATAACACTTACCATAAGTCTGGAAAGATAGCACCCATACTTTAAAACAATTGAGCATTAATATAAAAAAAATGCTACACATGTAAAAAGGGGATGCTATCTTTCCAGACTTTACAGTACCCATTTATTCCATTTGGGTCAACAAATTCTTGGTTTCTTTTATTATATTTCTTTTATTAGGCATTTTTTTAATTTAATTTTATTATTATTATTGTTGTTGTTGTTGTTGTTGTTGTTGTTGTTGTTGTTGTATATTATTATTACAGTGCTGATCGTCTATATTCAAAATAAAAATTGACATTACTAAACCTGGTAAAAGTAAACAAAAAATAATTTTTAAAAAAATTCTAACCACTGATTTTCAAAATTAGTGGCTAGATTTCTTTTAACTTCAATTATTGACCAAGTTATGTAGCACCAAATTATATATAAAGATCCAAAAATGGGACTAAGTAAATCAGTGTAATGTCACATTTTTCAATTCATTTTCATCCATTTTTTATTTTTTAATTGCAAAGGAAGTGATCTACAAAAACTTTTTTGCTTCATGTTCATATTAGCAACCTGTCAATCTTAAACTTCAAAATGAGTATAACCAACTTTAATGTAAAACTTGCAGCATTGGTTCAATTTTACCCAATTTAATGTTATTTACATTAAAAATAAAACCCATCCTGAATTAAAGTGTTATCTGACAATGGTCATTGTTCAGAACTTATGACAATGATCACTCATTAGAAAGCATTGTATAATGTAGAAGTATGTCAATGGATTTTTTTGGAACCAGGAGAAGCAAAAACAACAATTGATTCCCATCATGTACAAGTATGTATTTATTTATTTTTTACAGTTATTATTTTATAGATTTCATATGCTATAAAATGATACATGAGATTAGGTTATGATGTGATAGAAGGCAAACATATTGTAACTGTAGCAAAAGGTATTCATGGTATCTCAGTAGCTAATATTGAACCATATAGAAATCTTGAAAGAAAAAAAAAACAACTTTACCTGGGATACCAAATTGATTCGAATTCCAGTGCTTGTTGAAGGCAAATATGCAGGATATCTTTGTTCTAATTCTTTAACAAATTTTGGAAAATAGAAACCCTTTTCTCCAGCTATTATTCAAAAAACAATGAATAACAGAAACACAAGAAAAACCTACCTCAAATTCTAAATGGATAATTTCAATGCCAAGCAATAGTATTAAATAGTATTTGAATATAAGAATTGATGTTTGATACTTGCTAATGATATAAAAAAATCACAGCCTCAAATCCTAGTCAGTGGTCTATTGATAAAATCAAAAAAAAAAAAGGAAAATATGATATAGTTGGCTTGGTCTAAAGACCTCCTAAATTTTGGGCAAATTTTAAAAGTATAGAAGTCATTTTCTGTCCTACCTTTTAAAAAAATAGCTCTATTAGTTGATAGAATATGTCTTTAGTTTTAATGTAACAGAGAGATTTTCTCAAAAAAATTATTTGTTGTGGAGTTCTATTCTTTTTTAAAACATGCACTTTACTATGCTCGCGAGGAATTTGTCCACTGTGATCATTTCTAAATTTAGAAAAATATTACTAAATTTAGACTAGTTCTTGACTATCGTATCTAAATTTGGCAGTACTGCAGTAAGAAAACTAAAATCACGTGAAGTACTATTTTTTGAAAAATTTTATTACATTTTTGAACAAATTACAAAATTGCTATTTATGAAATTTGGCCGCATGGCGCAGCATTAGGAGGTCTTTAGACCGAGCCAACCATATTTAAAATTTTCGATCATTTGGCTTTGCAACCACCAAAAGGTACCCAATAATATTATAAAGTCTAGTTTAGTATAGTACCAAAATAATCCGAGAAATAGAGAGAAATGTTTTCAAGCATTTAAAGAAAGTAAATATATTTTTTATTATTCATTTCTCATTAAACTTTTTTCTTGTTAAAACAATTCGACAATTAGTAGACCAGGTACATTTATAAACATTAATATTAATATAATTCTTACACTTGAAAAAACATTTTATAGTTCTACAGTACAAGGAATAATTGCAACATATTTGAATCTACTAGGCCAAAAGAAGGTATGGATATTATTATCTTCATCATAATAGTATGTTACTAGCTAATGGCGAGTATGTTGAATGAACAAATATCTTGTTAACAATGTAATGTATGAAATTCTTCATTAAGTGAAAAGAATTAATGGTGTGATTTTATGCTGCATAATCTAGGAAATGAATGTTAGAAGGCACAAAGTTCAACGCAAGGGATATACTTTTCCCCCTCAAGTTTGTCATTTAGAGATTATTTTGATATAGAGGTATTTGTGTTGCTTCAAACTATAGATGCATTTTTATGATGGTGGTAGAAGTTTTCAATCTAGCGTTTTGATGAATTGAACATATAAAATATTGCCAGTGGATTCTTATAAAATCATCCGATCACAGAAAAAAACCCATGATTATTTTTTAGAAATCAAGACATCATACTTGAGTTTATTTTTGTAACAGGAGTTTATCCTCCTTGAACCAGAATCAATGTCTCAATTTCCATTTCAACAATTGACCAAATTTCACGTTTAATGATTCAATTCATAATCTTTTCCCTGAACCAGCCCATTGTCAGGTTTACAGCCTTAGCATAAACCATTCAATATTGAGGAATTACTTTGAATGTTTTGGATAAATTCTGATAGTGAATGAAATGAATTTTTAATTGACTTTGTTTTGTTGTTCATCCTTTTGCTGGCATTCAGTTATCATTCTCTAGTCTATGTGTCTCAACAGGCCTTTATATTGTCACATATCAAATTACAAGTAAGAAGTATAGTCATTAATATGGCTATCATCACTAATTACTACAAAAATTTGGATGTTGTTGATTGATTTTGGAATCTGCTATATTCATTTCCATATTTATTATTAATTTATTTAAATAGTAAAACAATAAAGGTATTTAAAACAATATATATATTACAATAGCATTATAAAAATAGAAATATACAGTACCAGCTCTTGAATCACCACCAATCAATTAAAATATTCAATCGTTCCACATCTCTCTATACAAGTACTTCAAGCCTCATTCATTTTGGGTTTTGTATAACATAAAATCCCGCCTCTGGTGAAATTTTATTATAAAAAAATCAAAATGATGATTTAAAAAATAACACATTAAAACTATTTTTATATAAAAAAAAAAATACTAAATGACCTTTAATCATTGAAAATATTTTCATTTAAAAATTTTTTTTTTCGCCATCTCTCAAAATTCTATTATAATAACATAAAATGATTTAATTAAAGAACCACCTGTAAAAATCTCAAGGCAATTAAACAACTTTGATTTCAGTTTTAAGTATTAAAAGTGTACTTGCTACAAAACATTGTACTTGTTATATTACTTCAAATTCCAAATTCTTTTTCTATATTGTATAAGAAAAGTCATTCTTTATTTTTTTATTATCATGACATAAACTAATGGGTTATTTTTGAATTGCCCAAAAAAAAAGTGTGAAGTTTCTTGTTTTTGTAAAATTATTTAGATATGTCCCGAGGACCGACATATAATAATAAATAAATAATAAATTCTAATAAAATAAAACACATTAATAATAAAGTATTTATCTATTTTTCTATTTTAATAATGGTTTGGTCATATGAGCCAAGTTTTTATTGTACGATTCTATCACCACTATTAAATTCGTGCAACCCGTATTTGTCCGCTGATTATGAAAATTATATATATTAGAAAAATTTGAAATGTATAAAAAATTAGAGCAAGATAAAAATAGTAAGCAATATTAACATTAATATTGAATAATAAAAATACAGAAAATAGACTGTGGCATTTATCACTAAGACCCTGAAATTAATTTGCAAGTATACCCCATATAAAACGCGATTTTTTTCGTGAAACATTTATTTTCCTATTACGTTTCTATTTATTAATAAAAGGTTTGTTGATCTTGCATAAATTTATTTGTTGTGTACATATAGACATAAATTCCTATTTTTCATTCAAACGAACCCTTTAGAAAACTTTTTATTTTTATTTTTATTTTTTTTTTACCGGTAAAAACATACATACATATATATATAAATATTTATTTAAATTTTATTATTTTCATCTAACAATTTCTTCTCCTCTAACTTTTCTTAACCCGTCGTCAATAATAAATAAAATAGACTTTCTAAACAAACTAGATTTAAATTAGAGATTTTTTTTTTAAAAAAAAAAAAAGATGATAAAGATTTGGTCAATCAAGAAGGATAATTCGGCAGCAGAGAAAAAGAAACCTAAAGTTAGTGCCGCTCAAATTCGCATTCAAAAAGGTATTTATTAATTAATTAATTAATATTATATTGTAAGATTGATAATGGCGTCTACAATTGGAAAAAAAAACTCTGTTTAGTTAATTAGATCTTGTTTAAAAGTGTTAACCAAATACAAAAACCAAAAGAATTTTTTTTTCCTAGCATATATATATATAAATATAATATTTAAATCTATATGTATATTTGTATTTTCATATATACAGATTTAACAGAATTGGCACTTCCGGAAACTATGCAAATGAATTTCCCGGACGATTCAGATCTTCTTAATTTCAATTTAACGATAAAGCCTGATGAAGGTAATATATTAATATATTAATAAATGGGTATGGGTATGAACATATATGTGTTTATGATGTATATTTACAATATTTATAATCATAATTATATATATGTGTGTATGTATATAAAAGGATTTTATCGAGGCGGCGTTTTTAGATTTACTTTTAATATAAACAATAATTATCCTCATGATCCACCAAAAGTCCATTGTACTCAAAAGGTAAATTAATAAAATTAATAATAATAATAATTCAAATTTTCAGATGATTTGATTAAACATGTAGTATATAATATATGTATATAATATAAAATAGATTTATCATCCTAATATTGATCTTGATGGCAATGTATGTCTAAATATTCTTCGTGAAGATTGGAAACCTGTTTTAAATTTGAATTCTGTATTGGTTGGATTGCAGTACCTATTCTTGGAACCAAATGCTGATGATCCTCTTAACAAAGGTAAGTAACAAACGAACAAGAAAATCATTATTATTTAGTTTTTAATTGTCAATATAAATATATATAAAATATATTTTAACAAATATATTTATATTATTATTTTTAATTGCGTGGTGGAAAATAAAAGATGCTGCTGAAGATTTGAGAATGTTGAGTTAATAAAGGTGATAAAGGCGTTTTCTCACATTTAACTTGTGGCTTGTACTACTGGTCCAGACAGTCTGGGACATTTAAGAAAATGAGCATGACAAATTGTTATGCAGACATTTTTGGACATTGCTCAGGACATGTCCATGTCTGCTCAATATTAGGCAGACATGTCCCATGTACAACACTGGTGTCATTGTTTCCCTCATATAACCAAATGCTGATGATCCTCTTAACAAAGGTAAGTAACAAACGAACAAGAAAATCATTATTATTTAGTTTTTAATTGTCAATATAAATATATATAAAATATATTTTAACAAATATATTTATATTATTATTTTTAATTGCGTGGTGGAAAATAAAAGATGCTGCTGAAGATTTGAGATCAAACAGGAAAAATTTTGAATATAATGTCAAACAATCAATGAGAGGCAAAGATGTTAAAGGAATTATCTTCGATAATGTACATTGATCGCCGACCAGAATTATGTATAAAAATTAAAATTAAATTTTATGTAATTTTAATAAAAGATAAACAAAATTTGAATTCTATTTGCATACTTAAAATCACTCTCATTGATTGTTTATTGTCTAATAACCTCTACTCAACATTGTATAATTTAAAACTAGACATTTATTTTTTTTTTTGGTTTTTTTTTGTTCACAAAATGGTTTTACTATGATTATAAAAATTACATTAAAAAACCTTTAAAATAAAATAAAGTAATAATAATTGAATAAATATAAAAAGTCTAAGCGCCTTAAATGAAAGAGCAAGTCAGGCATTCATTCAATGCTATTTTTACGTCTGTAGCTAAAAATTGGTAGTCTTTGAAAATATGCTTTGATTTTATTAAAGTCTCTCAAAATACAGTCATACATACTTCCTTCCATATAAGAACACCTTAGGAACTAATTACTTTTAAGCTTTATAGAACAACCTCTCTTAACATTTTTAGAAAAAGAGGTCCGCCGATCAATCATGAGATATGAAAAAATTGGTGCAATTATTATTTGGACTCTAAATTACATTGTGGAATTCATGATGGTATTAAACTTCCAAAAAATAGCATAATGGTCATTCGCTTATCACATTGTGACTTTGATTTCATTGGCTAAATTTTACGATGATCACCCTCCAAAAAATCAAATTTTATTATTGGCTTGAAGATCTTTTACAAAAACAAAATTTATAATTTTTATATATATACAACTTTAAATGATAACAATTTTATTTTTCAAATTGTCAAATATTAAAATTGTTTTAGGATGGTCAACATCCAATGTAGTTAATTGAATATGGATATAAAATGTATGCATAAAATCATAATAA